AACTGTTGTTTCTTCTGGTCGGAATAGTCGATCATATAGCAGAACGCCAACACCATCAAACCAGGGCATGCTGGGACTTCAGAACTTGCGAGCAGCACTTGAGCGTGATGATGGTGTTACATATGATGTACCCGAGCAGCAAGAAGCAAAACAAACAACTGCTGCGATCGGAGAACGAGTGTATGACACACCAGACATTCATTTCGAAAACGACAACACATCCTTTGTGAAATTATCTACGGACAATGGCGTGGACATTGGTAGTGAGAAGGTCCAAGATGATCATGAGCACCAACACCGCAGCGATGGTGGTGGCCGTGGCGACAGCAGCGGCGATGGTGGTGGTAGTGGTGGTAGAGTTGTGGATGAACCCAGACGCAGGTGGCCACGTCTCAGTTTAAAGCGTAGCGGTAGCAAGCGTAGTACAAACTCCACAGCACACACATCGACTGGGGCTAGCGTTGACGTGACTGATGATGCGGCACAAGCTAAAGTTATGAAGGAAGTGTCCAAGACGGTGGGATCATTATCCTGGTTAATTCACTCAGCAGCGGGTCTGATTGGGCGGGCTAGGTCGTCAACGGCAACACCAGTACCATCAGCATCAAGACCAGTTAGTAGTAATAGTGCGGATACGTATGCTAAAAGCAAGGACGGCAGCAACACCACCTTCAACCGCCATCAGCATGCAGCAGCCATGGTGACAAGGAATAACACCATGACTAGCTCCACTCAGCATACATCACCTACTACTGGCAACAACAACGGAGTAAGGACAGCGTACGTTCCAGGTGCAGCAACACGACCGAGATCAGCTGGTGCTGACAGCTATGATGTGCCGTTCAATGCTATCAAACCATCATCACAGCCGGCCGCCTCATCAACACTACCTGTTACGTCAACTAGCAAGGTTAGTTGTCACTCACGGCCTGTAATATTCCAGCAAGAGTAGGGTAGGGAGAGAGAGAGAGAGAGAGAGAGAGAGAGAGAGAGAGAGAGAGAGAGAGAGAGAGAGAGAGAGAGAAAGAGAGAGAGACAGAGACAGACAGACAGACAGACAGACAGACAGACAGACAGACAGACAGACAGACAGACAGACAGACATAGAGAGAGAGAGAGAGAGAGAGAGAGAGAGAGAGAGAGAGAGAGAGAGAGAGAGAGAGAGAGAGAGAGAGAGAGAGAGAGAGAGAGAGAGAGAGAGAGAGAGAGAGAGAGAGAGAGAGAGAGAGAGAATGAGAGAGAATGAGAATGGGAATGGGAAAGAGAAAGAAAGAGTATGCATAAGAGAAAAGGGGATAGCAAAAAATGACTGCCACCACCAGGACCCAAACCCAGGAACCAAACCCAGGACCCAAACCCAGGATCCAAACCCAGGACCCAAACTCAGGACCCAAACCCAGGACCCCAACCCAGGATCCAAACCCAGGACCCAAACCCAGGACCCAAACCCAGGACCCAAACCCAGGACCCAAACCCAGGACCCAAACCCAGGACCCAAACTCAAGATCCAAACCCAGGATCCAAACCCAGGACCCAAACCTGGGACCCAACCCTGGGACCCAAACCCAGGACCCAAACCAAGGATCCAAACCAAGGATCCAAACCCAGGACCCAAACCCAGGGTCCAAACCCAGGACCCAAACCCAGGACCCAAACCCAGGGTCCAAACCCAGGACTCAAACCCAGGACTCAAACCCAGGACCCAAACCCAAGACTCAAACCCAGGATCCAAACCCAGGATCCAAACCCAGCAGGGTCCTCGTCGCTTTGGCCAGGGTGCTCTACCTCTAAGCCATGGTGTAGTTGTCATCCCCGCCACAACTGCTCAACATTTTCTTCAGACTTTGAAACTCACACTTTCTGTGAACCCCGGCACTCAGGCTGGTAGGTCGCAATCCTCACTGTACCTACACACTTCATGTACAAGCTAAGCTAGCATGCGGGGAGTGCCAATACGTAAAAAGTTCATAAGTTTGATAACGTGGCATGGAGACATGGAGATAGGACTAGAGAGAAAGCCCGCAGATGTGCCATCCAATATTGTTTCTACTATTCATCTCATACCGAGCTGATCCCACCAGTACTATACCCCAACCTCCCCCCCCCCCCCCCCCCACACACACACCCTATTTAGCAAAGAATACAACATACACGCACGTCCCTGTATTAATATTGGAGTGGTTGGGACTTCATATGTGAATGGATGTTGATATCAGCACAATAAATAAGGCAAGGTGCGCATTCAATACACACAGCATTGGCACGACAACGGTTGGATGTTGATATATTTGTTATGATTATAAACGTTCCGTAAAACTCTCAGACTCCATTGCAGCGTAGTTTTCACATCGGAAAATATCTCCATTGCACACCGTACATAACAGGCTCTCAGCTGCATCGAATAGATTTCCTAATGCCGATATTTCGCCCATTGGGCATCATCAGGGCATCCACGCAAAAGAAGAGGCAAGCGCCAACATAATATACTCAGCAGAGGGAAAATACTAGAGACATTCACACCTACAAAAAAACCAAAAAGTGTAGAATTAACATCCTAAAATTCACGTATTAAGTCCACACATTTGGTAACGCTATACATGTAGATATTCAAGAAGTATTAGATTTACTTGTAATGTAAATTTTATACAGAGGGTGCTAAACCACACGTAAGAGAGCCATAGAACAGTGAATGTATAGTGATAGCGTAAAGTGTAAGTGTAAGTGGACAAGTCCGGTGGTAGTTCAGAAGATTTCAGGTGATAGGTCGCAGTGCTGAGTGGTAATCCAGTAACTTTGCCGTGATTCAGTCAATTAGGCGCCATCCGTGATCGCAGTTAACTGCTGCCTTGCGATTCCTGATCTCGATGGCCTCCAGCAATTTCCTCGATGGTATCGAAGCCTCCCTGCCAAGAATCTTTGCCTGGTGGAAGGGCAGGAAGTTGGGCGACTTGGAAGATTCTTGATGCTTAGTGCGGTAGTGGAATCCCCAGGGAGCCTTCGCTACCATCGCCCTTGCCTCTCGGTAGTGCTCAGCGAAACGATCCCTCACCGGCCGCTCGGTCTCACCAACGTACAGTTCCTCACACAACGTACAGTTCCTCACACAACGTACAGTTCCTCACACAACGTACAGTTCCTCACACAACGTGCAAGACATACATATACAATAAACAACATCTTTGACTAAACACTGACTGTCTCATACTACACACTGACTGTCTCATACTACACATTGACTGTCTCATACTACACATTGACTGTCTCATACTACACATTGACTGTCTCATACTACACATTGACTGTCTCATACTACACACTGACTGTCTCATACTACACATTGACTGTCTCATACTACACATTGACTGTCTCATACTACACATTGACTGTCTCATACTACACATTGACTGTCTCATACTAAACACTGACTGTCTCATACTACACATTGACTGTCTCATACTACACATTGACTGTCTCATACTAAACACTGACTGTCTCATACTACACATTGACTGTCGCATACTACACATTGACTGTCGCATACTACACATTGAATTGACTGTCGCATACTCGCATCACATGCACATCACATGCACATCACATTGACTGTCGCATACTCGCATCACATGCACGACACTCCATTGGCCGCCCCCTCCCTCTCTTCTGCTGGGCTCGCTGCTTCTCCCGGGGGCACACACGCATTCCACTAGACGAGCGAACCAACATATTCTTCAAAGATGGACCAGACAAGAAGACAACACGAACACGTGGACTGAACCTACGAACACGTCGTGAGACACGAGCGGCAAGTGAGTCGCTCAAGAATGGCAGTTTGATGACGGACTGAGATTGCTTGCTGTAGCGGCGCCCATGGCCATGCCGTTGTTGTGGGTGAGATAGTCGCCTTTCCTGCTTCTGCTGTTTCTTCTTGGCCGCTCGCTTTGCGGCACTGACTTCGGTTTGGGGTAGTTGTTCTTCATCAGCAACTCCTCGATAGTGGCCATGCTTCTGTTTTCCGCCTCTGGTGTGGACGAATTTCGGATGGCCCGGGAAAACTGGTTGGTGGCAACGGCTTTCTTACACGACAATGGCAAGCAAGAGTCGTGCGATAGATAGACGCCGCTATGGGAAGGCTTGACGTAGAGTTCCGTCTCAATCCTGCCGCCCTGTAATGACAGCATCAGGTCCAGGAAATTCACCGATTGCTTTGCCTTAACTGTATGTTCCATTGTGAATTTGATCTTGTCGTGCTGTGCGTTGAAGTGATCGAGTAGTGCGTTGAGGCGGCTCCAGCCATATCTCCACAGCAGTAGGCAGTCGTCGATGTATCTCTTGTATAGATCAGGCTTTGGAGAGCCTTTTGTTCTAGGGCGGCCATGAAAAGATGGCCAATGGAGGCGCCAGATGGTTCCCCATGGCTATGCCATGCTGTTGGCGATACTGCTTGTTGTTGAATTCGAAGTAGTTGTTTTCGAGAACGTACTCTAGCATGAGCTGGACCTCCGATACCCTCGGGCCAAGCATGTCGATTTCATCCTTGTGCTGCTCTAGTTTGGCAACAGCGGCTAAGATGCTCTCTTCTACGGGTATATTCGAGTAGAGGCCCACTACATCAAACGAGGCAACGATGTAATCGTCGCGCACGTCGCCCGGCAGCTGCTGCTTGCTCTTGATTTCGTCAAGGCAGGTCTCTGTGCTATCCAGATGTGTCGGAACGAACTCCAGGAGCTGATTTAGGATTATAAACTTATGGAGAAAATGCCAATTGGTACAGTGAATGCAACTATCTCTCTTTCTATCTATTGATATATGTCTGTCTGTCTGTCTGTCTGTCTGCCTGCCTGCCTGCCTGCCTGCCTGTCTGTCTGTCTGTCTGTCTGTCCGTCTCTCCTCCTGCTCTCTCCCTATCTCTGTCTACTTTGTTCATCCAAAACAGAAATCATTTGGAATGAAATCCCCTGCTCACTACTATAACAAGCTCAAGTTTCAAATGGATCCGGTTAGTATTGTTTGTCTATCATGTCCCACTTCAAATGGATCCGGTTAGTATTGTTTGTCTGCCATGTCCCACTTCAAATGGATCCGGTTAGTATTGTTTGTCTGCCATTTCCCACTTCAAATGGATCCGGTTAGTAGTGTTTGTCTGCCATTTCCCACTTCAAATGGATCCGATTAGTAGTGTTTGTCTGCCATTTCCCACTGTCACTGTGTTCCTAAGCGTTATATCGACCGGTATGGTGCCTGGTAACTTATATGTAGTAACTTTCAGATTGGTGCATTCTTTCAAGCATGTAATCTACTTACATATACATACACAGGTGCATGGACGTATAGATGGAATGACTGGCTGTTCAGACAGATGTGCACCCCGGCCCGGGTATGTGTCGTCTCTGTACAGGATTCAGCAGCAGCACTAGCATCATCCAGAGCGGCACAGGTTGCAGAGAAGGATGATAGTGCGGCAGTATACACTGAACCACTTCAACAACAGCAGTACCAAGAACCACCATCAAATGAAGCTGCTATCTATCAGACACTAAGCAATCAACGCTATCGCCATATTCACCCTGATCATATACGTATGAAACAGGAGATTGGATCCGGGTAAGTTGACTGCGTGATCCATGCTTGTGATCCATACTACGTTTTATGCTGACCTTTCATACAAACTTCCAGTCAACTTGCCCATCATGCTGGCGATTTATATTGGGCATATAAACCTCGTACCTCATACAAACCCCATATAGACCACCACCATACAAACTCCTTTTTAGAAACAGGAAGAAGTTGACTGTCAGTTTGTATGAAGGTCAGCATATGTATAATGAGTACATCCCACTAGTACGCTTGTACGTGAAATATAAACCGACATACAAACCTCGGCTTCGCCTCGGTTTGCATGTCGGTTTATATTTCACGTACAAGCGTACTGTTGGGTTGTATTCTATACATAGTGATTCATGCCAGTGATCCATACTTAGCGATCCATGCCAGTGATCCATGTCAGTGATCCATGCCAGTGATCCATGTCAGTGATCCATGTCAGTGATCCATGTCAGTGATCCATGTCAGTGATCCATGCCAGTGATCAATGCCAGTGATCAATGCCAGTGATCTATACCAGTGATCCATGTCAGTGATCCATGCCAGTGATCCATGCCAGTGCATCTTGGTAGTAATGTGATGTAGGTGGTTTGTTGCTCAAGTTTCAGGTTTCATAGATTTGCGTAGACACCTGCTGATATGCATACAGTCATTATGATTGTGTGTGTCTATATGTATGGGTGCATGTGTGTATGTGTGTGTGTGACTTGTAGGAGGTTTGGACTAGTCTATCGTGGCCTGTGGATTGATGTAAGTCACTGTGAATCAATGTGAAACATGTACTCAGTAGCAGCACTCCACTCCATAGCATGATACATGTGTCTTACAGTCTATGCAGTCTTTGTTTCTAATGACTCTTTTACACACATGCCAAAGTCTACGTGCCTACGGACACGCAAGACAACAACAGACTTTGAGGACAACCAGTTTTCAAAACTGTCTTGTTGATAGAAATTTAGAAAACACCAACCGAAAACAGACCCAGCTCGGAAGCCGAACTTCCAGGCCAGAGGAGCATGTACAGTGAGATGACCACACTGCTCGTACAACAAAACACGGGATGCGGGTGTTGTGCCATCGCACGTGTAAGAGCGAGAAAAGAACCGTTTAGCAAGTGTCGCACCCAGCAGAAACTACAGTACAGTGTATTGCAATGCTAAGAAGTGAATCATGCCATCACAGTAGTATAATGCATTTCAGAGAGTGCAACATTCATTCTAAACAGTATTACTATCTACTATCTACTTTCTACCGTATTTCCCCGATTATAAGTCGCACTCGATTATAAAGCTGTGTTCACAACTGGCGCGTGTACGCGGTACGCTTGCGGTTCATGCGTGCCCAAACGCGCGCTCAGGCTTTCACAAAAAAACAGCAATCCCAGTCGTATTTAGCGCGTGCGACACCTTCGAGTACTAATTTTTTGACCCCGCCAGTCAAGGTGACTGGCATGTACGCTGGTACGCGCCTGATACGCGCTGAAAATTCCAACATGTTGGAAGTTCCATTTCGGCGCGTTTCCGTACGCATGACGCCCCAAAAGCCAGCAAAAAAACGCACAAACGCGTGGTTTCACGCGTACACGCGCCAGTTGTGAACACAGCTTTAGTTGCACTCGATTATAAGTCGCACTCGATTATAAGTCGCACTCGGTTATAAGTCGCACTCGATTATAAGTCGCACTCGGTTATAAGTCGCACTCGGTTAAAAGTCGCACTCGATTATAAGTCGCACTCGATTATAAGTCGCACTCGATTATAAGTCGCACTCGATTATAAGTCGCACTCGATTATAAGTTGCATTCGATTATAAAACGCACTCGATTATAAGTCGCACTCGATTATAAGTCGCACTCGATTATAAGTAGGGGTGAAAGTTGGCACTGAGAACCCGAGTTCGAGTACTCTGATTTTCTCCGATCGAATATTCGAGTATTCGAGTATTCTTGATATCCTAAAAATCGCACACCAACGGCCTTAAAAATCACATGATACAAGCCTGATCGAACCGATTGGCAGTCCTTTTCTCGGGTGTATTGGTTGGTGGGTCATTTGGGCTCTCTCTACTCGTGTACAAGTGTTCACCACACAGTCTACACATCAATATCTGCTGACTGCTGCTCTGAAATGCAGACTTCTCTGGCAAATGCATGTACCATGTATGAGCGAGTACTCTGATTTATTCCGAGTACGATTATATTTGAAAAATCCAAACGAGTATTCGAATATTCGGTATAATTGTTTCACCCCTAATTATAAGTCACACTCGATTATAAGTCACACTCGATTATAAGTCACACTCGATTATAAGTCACACTCGGTTATAAGTCGCACTCGATTACGATTGACAAAAAATTGCTCGCGTGAGTGAGGTTATTTTCATTGTGCGTATGCAGTGTGGCTGTGATGAAAAGCAGAAAAATTGTTCCCGGTTTATAATCTGAGGACTGTTCCCTCAATGTGACGGGCCCCTTATAAGTCGCACTCGATTATAAGTCGCACTCGATTATAAGTCGCACTCAATTATAAGTCGCACTCGATTATTAGTCGCACTCGATTATAAGTCGCACTCGGTTATAAGTCACACTCGGTTATAAGTCGCACTCAGTTGTAAGTCGCACTCGATTATAAGTCGCACTCGATTATAAGTCGCACTCGATTATAAGTCGCACTCGATAATAAGTCACACTCGATTATAAGTCGCACTCGATTAAAAGTCGCACTCGGTTAGAAGTCGCACTCGGTTAGAATTTGCACTCGGTTAGAAGTCGCACTCGATTATAAGTCGCACTCGATTATAAGTCGCACTCGATTATACAAGTCGCACTCGATTATAAGTCGCCCTCAATTATAAGTCGCACTCGATTAGAAGTCGCACTCGATTAGAAGTCGCACTCGGTTATAAGTCGCACTCGGTTATAAGTCGCACTCGGTTATAAGTCGCACTCGATAATAAGTCGCACTCGATAATAAGTCGCACTCGATAATAAGTCGCACTCGATTATAAGTCGCACTCGATTATAAGTCGCACTCGGTTATAAGTCGCACTCGATTATAAGTCGCACTCGGTTATAAGTCGCACTCGGTTATAAGTCGCACTCGGTTATAAGTCGCACTCGGTTATAAGTCGCACTCGGTTATAAGTCGCACTCGATTATAAGTCGCACTCGATTATAAGCCGCATTCGATTATAAGTCGCACTCGGTTATAAGTCGCACTCGGTTATAAGTCGCACTCGGTTATAAGTCGCACTCGGTTATAAGTCGCACTCGATTATAAGCCGCACTCGGTTATAAGCCGCACTCGGTTATAAGTCGCACTCGGTTATAAGTCGCACTCGGTTATAAGTCGCACTCGGTTATAAGTCGCACTCGGTTATAAGTCGCACTCGGTTATAAGTCGCACTCGGTTATAAGTCGCACTCGATTATAAGTCGCACTCGATTATAAGTCACACTCGATTATAAGCCGCACTCGGTTATAAGTCGCACTCGGTTATAAGTAGCACTCGATTATAAGTCGCACTCGATTATAAGTCACACTCGATTATAAGTCACACTCGGTTATAAGTCGCACTCGATTATAAGTCACACTCGGTTATAAGTCACACTCGGTTATAATATAAGTCGCACTCGATTACGATTGACAAAAAATTGCTCGCGTGAGTGAGGTTATTTTACTTGGGCGTATGCAGTGTGGCCGTGATGAAAAGCAGAAAAATTGTTCCCAGTTTATAATCTGAGGACTGTTCCCTCAATGTGACCGGCCCCTTATAAGTCGCACTCGATTATAAGTCGCACTCGATTATAAGTCGCACTCAATTATAAGTCGCACTCGATTATTAGTTGCACTCGATTATAAGTCGCACTCGATTATAAGTCACACTCGGTTATAAGTCGCACTCAGTTGTAAGTCGCACTCGATTATAAGTCGCACCCGATTATAAGTCGCACTCGATTATAAGTCACACTCGATTATAAGTCGCACTCGATTATAAGTCGCACTCGGTTAGAAGTCGCACTCGGTTAGAAGTCGCACTCGGTTAGAAGTCGCACTCGGTTAGAAGTCGCACTCGATTATAAGTCGCACTCGATTATAAGTCGCACTCGATTATAAGTCGCCCTCGATTATAAATCGCCCTCGATTAGAATTCGCACTCGATTAGAAGTCGCACTCGGTTATAAGTCGCACTCGGTTATAAGTCGCACTCGATAATAAGTCGCACTCGATAATAAGTCGCACTCGATAATAAGTCGCACTCGATAATAAGTCGCACTCGATAATAAGTCGCACTCGATTATAAGTCGCACTCGGTTATAAGTCGCACTCGGTTATAAGTCGCACTCGATTATAAGTCGCACTCGGTTATAAGTCGCACTCGATTATAAGTCGCACTCGGTTATAAGTCGCACTCGGTTATAAGTCGCACTCGGTTATAAGTCGCACTCGGTTATAAGTCGCACTCGGTTATAAGTCGCACTCGATTATAAGTCGCACTCGATTATAAGCCGCATTCGATTATAAGTCGCACTCGGTTATAAGTCGCACTCGGTTATAAGTCGCACTCGGTTATACCGTACTGGCAATATATGTTGCCGCGTAACGCGTATCGCAGGGGGGTGCGGCGTAACGCGCGACCCGGCTAGTGCGACAAATTTTCGTTGAGTTCGTAACGCGCGTCCGGCGGGGTGCGGCGATCTTTTCATTGCAGTTTGCTCTGCACAAGAAAAAATGATGCGGCATAAGCAAAAAAAGGACTGCGGCAATATAGAAACCTGTGTAACGGCTCCTGTGCGACTTTGCATGTAACGCCCTGCGTGCGGCAAACATGTGCCAATGTAACGCTTCATGACCTCACTGCGGCAACATATATTGCCAGTACGGTAAGTCGCACTCGATTATAAGTCGCACTCGATTATAAGCCGCACTCGGTTATAAGTCGCACTCGGTTATAAGTCGCACTCGGTTATAAGTCGCACTCGGTTATAAGTCGCACTCGGTTATAAGTCGCACTCGGTTATAAGTCGCACTCGGTTATAAGTCACACTCGATTATATGTCGCACTCGATTATAAGTCGCACTCGGTTATAAGTCGCACTCGATTATAAGTCGCACTCGATTATAAGTCGCACTCGATTATAAGTCGCACTCGATTATAAGTCGCACTCGATTATAAGTCACATTCGGTTATAAGTCGCACTCGGTTGTAAGTCGCACTCGATTATAAGTCACACCCGATTATAAGTCGCACTCGATTATAAGTCGCACTCGATTATAAGTCACACTCGATTATAAGTCGCACTCGGTTATAAGTCGCACTCGATTATAAGTCGCACTCGATTATAAGTCGCACTCGATTATAAGTCGCACTCGATTATAAGTCACATTCGGTTATAAGTCGCACTCGGTTGTAAGTCGCACTCGATTATAAGTCACACCCGATTATAAGTCGCACTCGATTATAAGTCGCACTCGATTATAAGTCACACCCGATTATAAGTCGCACTCGGTTATAAGTCGCACTCGATTATAAGTCGCACTCGATTATAAGTCACATTCGGTTATAAGTCGCACTCGGTTGTAAGTCGCACTCGATTATAAGTCACACCCGATTATAAGTCGCACTCGATTATAAGTCGCACTCGATTATAAGTCACACCCGATTATAAGTCGCACTCGGTTATAAGTCGCACTCGATTATAAGTCGCACTCGATTATAAGTCACACTCAGTTATAAGTCGCACTCGATTATAAGTCACACTCGGTTATAAGTCACACTCGGTTATAATATAAGTCGCACTCGATTACGATTGACAAAAAATTGCTCGCGTGAGTGAGGTTATTTTACTTGTGCGTATGCAGTGTGGCCGTGATGAAAAGCAGAAAAAATTGTTCCCAGTTTATAATCTGAGGACTGTTCCCTCAATGTGACCGGCCCCTTATAAGTCGCACTCGATTATAGGTCGCACTCGATTATAAGTCGCACTCAATTATAAGTCGCACTCGATTATTAGTTGCACTCGATTATAAGTCGCACTCGATTATAAGTCGCACTCGGTTATAAGTCGCACTCGATTATAAGTCGCACTCGATTATAAGTCGCACTCGGTTATAAGTCGCACTCGGTTATAAGTCGCACTCGGTTATAAGTCGCACTCGGTTATAAGTCGCACTCGATTATAAGTCGCACTCGATTATAAGTCGCATTCGGTTATAAGTCGCACTCGGTTATAAGTCGCACTCGATTATAAGTCGCACTCGATTATAAGTCGCACTCGGTTATATGTCACACTCGGTTATAAGTCGCACCCCCATTTTCATGTTTGAGCAATATTGATTTGATATATGGACTTCAGTAGTAATATAAGTCACACTCGATTGTAAGTCGCACCTCCTTTTTTACCCTTGGATTTTAGTGTAAAAAGGTGTAAGACTTATATTCAGGAAAATACGGTACTCTGTTGCTCTGTTACTCTGTACTGTCTTGCCCTGTATTGTCTCACTTAGTCTTGCATGGTGATCAATTAACAGCACTCTTAGTCCGGACATGGTGTATCAAATCCATTATGATATTGCACTGGGCTGTGTATCAAATCCATTATGATATTGCACTGGGCTGTGTATCAAATGCATTGTGGCTGCAGTGCTTAGCCATACACACATGTTTTCTTCTTGTTTTTCTCTCTCTGCTCAGGGTGACTGTAGAACTGATGTTGCTGTCAAGACGTTACGTAGTGATGTGGAGAAAAGAGACCGAGTTCTGTTCCTACAGGAGGCAGCCATTACTGGCCAGTTCCAACACAAGAACATTGTGCAACTACATGGTGTAGTCACCCATCAACGAACGGTATGGCCATCTCAACTACGGTTGAATCAGTCCGGGGAGAGGATGTGATGTTGTACTGCAGTATGTATGTGTATGGTCATGTACACAGCTGTTCTTACGTATTTCCAAATTGCCTATACAAGTAACAGGGGCGTCACAGGGTGGCTGGGAGTGGTACGACCGGGGTCCGGGAGTGTCCCCCGGAGAAAAAATAAGGATTTTCCTGCTAACAGGCAGGCCACGTTTTAGCACTCTACAGCCGCAAAGGAGGGCTCCCCTAGCACTTATTCGACAACCCCACTCCAGCTCCAAAAACATACTTCTCATGGATTTTTGTTATTTTCTGTACATCGTAGGTAGCCAAGCAAGGCAAATGGAACCCATTCAATGATTCAGGGCCATCATGGCCATTGCCCTCGAAAAAATCGCAAAATCCGAAGTACAAGCGTGCTGCGCGTTCTAGCGCCAGCGGCTATGCAAAAACGTACATGTATGTCGTGTCCTGCAAAAGTCTGCCGCGTCGCGTACACTATGTACACGTCCGGCCTGGACAGTCGCGAAGTAATTATTTTAGTTGTTTTTAGAGAGAGAAGAAGATCCTTTGTTTTTGTTCAGTGGGATTGAAAGATCTGCCAGTGGACCGGAGAGCTACAACAATGGAAGCAGAAGAAAGCGCTTGCGGAATCTTCTCTGTCTTCGTGGCAACAGGACTTTAGTTTGCGAGAGACTTTCGTCCTGTCGTCGCGGACGAAATTCTTGTTGCTGCTACCAGAAAACGCGGGGAACGAAACGATCGTAAATCGTTATAATATAGGTGAAGCGGGTCGTGTCGGTGAACAGCTGCAGAATATTCTGCCGCCGTGGAGCAGCAGTCCAAACACTTTTCAACTTCGGAGAATGAAGCGCTTCCCTTTTCCGTTGACAAGCGCTGCGTTCGCGGGTGTAATGCATTTTCGAATCCGCTTGCAGTAGATCGTCAGGAGCCAGAGGTACTGAGGTAGGTGTCGTTGCGGAAAGAATATAATTATTATGTTTTAGCTGACAAGTGACATAAATGTAGTGTCTCTTGACGTACGTGCTGATCGCCATTGTAACATGGTAGATCTTGGAAATTTTTAGTTCTGGACCCAGTGATTGCCGCCAGCTCAGCTCTGTTTCCGTCCAGTTTGCAGTGAATGCGTCCGTGAGGAATCCATCGTCTGGTTGTCTCTAACCGTGACTCCAACCGCCTATCGTAATGGAAAGCCGCCTGGAGTCTTGGGCTAGGCATCAAGTCTGTATGCTCCTTGCAATGAAAGTAACAGTTGCGATGTTTTGTACAAGTCCGAAGAACCTTGAAATTTTTTATTGCTTTTTCGGATGAATTGGGTGGACCATCCTGGACGAAAAGTGGTACGAAGTGGTCGTACCGTGTGTGACGCCTCTGAGTAATGGCAACTCACTAATAATGTACTACAGTTGTGGCAAGTGAAATCCGACACTTGCCATAGGGGACAGCGCCTCAAATGGACATCAATGATGTAATGCACTGCACCTAATTTGTACTATAGAGACGTATGCATCCCAAACAGGTCGAAAGGTCACAGCGTTGATACACACAGTTCACAGACATGGTGCACATAAGGAGTATTGGTATCCAATTCCCATTCATTTTTGCTAGCACCTTTTGAACCTTGACAGTGATGAGTACGAATTCTGTCATCAGACAGATAAAGTTGTATGCAACACATGTACTGTACGTATGCAGGGCTGCAGAGGCTGCAGGATGCACGGGGCAGTCCCTTATGCCAAGTGTCGGATTTCACTTGCCACAACTGTACTTCTTTTTTTCCAAATTATACCATACATCCAGTGAATGTTCAGTAGAGAGCACTAGGAATGCTAGCAGTATCATTCCAATGTTCTGCCCCTCGCCCCTATTCCGCCCCCATGTTCTCCCCTCCCCATGTTCTGCCCCCCCCCCCCCCTGTGCTGCCCCCATGTTCTCCCCTCCCCCATGTTCGCCCCCCCCCCCATGTTCGCCCCCCCCCCATGTTCTGCCCCAATATTCTGCTGCTGTTGGTTGTTGCTGTTAATTGGCAGTGCTGTTGCTGCTAGTGTTGCTATTCAGTGGTGCTGCTCCTGCTCCTGCTCCTGCTCCTGCTGCTGGTGATGGTGATGGTGATGGTGATGGTGGTGGAGGTGGCGATGGTGGTGGAGGTGGCGATGGTGGTAGTGGTGGTGGTGGTGATGGTGATGGTGGTGGAGGTGGTGATGGTGGTGGTGATGGTGATGGTGGTGGTGATGGTGGTGGTGATGGTGGTGATGGTGGTGGTGATGGTGATGGTGGTGGTGGTGGTGATGGTGGTGGTGATGGTGGTGGTGATGGTGGTGGTGGTGATGGTGGTGGTGATGGTGATGGTGATGGTGATGGTGATGGTGGTGGTGGTGGTGGTGGTGGTGGTGATGGTGGTGATGGTGGTGGTGATGGTGATGGTGGTGGTGATGGTGATGGTGGTGGTGATGGTAGTGGTGTGATTTTGACCAGGATTTCATGAATGTCCTAGTATCTAGGATATCATTGAAATCCAGTATTGCTGTGTTGTTATTTATGCTGCTGCAATCTACACTTGTGTTTGTGTTTTTGTGTTTGTGCAACCATCTGTGTGTTTATCTGTGCAACTGTATGACTATCTATGTGTATGTAACCATCTGTGTGTTTATCCGTGCAACTGTATGACTATCTATGTGTATGGGTGTACCTGTGTCAACATCTGTGCGTGTGTCTGTGTGTGTCTGTGTGTGTGTATGTGTATATATGTATGTGTGTGTATATGTGTGTGTTGGTGTGTGTTGGTGTGTGTATGTGTGTGTATGTGTTCAGATCTTACTTGTATTTGAGTTAATGACTGGAAACTTACGACTTTATCTGAACAAGATAGCTCCAAGGTTAGTTTGTGTTTGTGTTGCCTATTATTCTGTCCAGATCTACAGATTAGTAATGGGTTTGCTCCCACACTGGAGCTCGCGCTATTCCGCCGACGACGGAATAGCGAAATAGCGCGAGCTCCAGTGTGGGAGCAAACCCATTACTAAACAAAATCATCGCCGAAGTCGCAACCTCTATTTCGTAGATCTACAGATCTAGATTTAATACTGGCCCTAAAGCTGTGTGGGTGTGCGTGTGTGTGTGTGTGTGCGTGTGTGTGTGTGTGTGTGTGTGTGTGTGTGTGTGTGTGTGTGTGTGTGTGTGTGTGTGTGTGTAATGCGTATGTGGGGCGATCAGGAGACCATCACCTGTAAGCTTCGGCATCGTCGGCTAGAGTGGCTAGGTCACCTGGCGCGCATGGATGACACCCGCATGCCAATGTGCCTTCTGTTTGGCCAGCTCCCACCTGTCAGACCTGCCCATGGACCAAGGAAACGGTGGAAGGACTGCGTGTCGGTCGATCTTCGCCATATCCTAATTGTGAACTGGTACCAGACCGCTAACACATCTCGCATGGAATGGCGATGTAGATACCAAGACCAGGATAAGGAACTGGCCGCAGCAGCCCCCGTTGAGTGCCCCATCTGTGGAAAAGTCTGCTCTAGACCAAGCGATCTTAAGCACCACAAGTGCACAGTGGAGCGTCGCAAGCTAGTCCAACAGCAGCATGGTGCATGTCAATGCACACATTGTGGGAAATGATACCGTAGCAGGGGTGGACTCGCTGTGCACAGGTGTCAGCCTACCTCAATCGCTAGCCAGCCCGCTTCCGCTCCTTGTAGACCTCGCCAGAACCGCCCAACAACGGATGAACGTGCCAAGTTTCCACTACTGTGTCAGCACTGCTCTCGAAGATTTCGGCAGTCCAGGGAACTGACCCGGCACCGGCGTGTTTGCTCCTCTCCCTCCTCCCGCAATGGGACCACGTTACTTTTACGGCAGTGGGTCAACAGGATAGGACAGGTGTGTGTGTGTGTGTGTGTGTGTGTGTGTGTGTGTGTGTGTGTGTGTGTGTGTGTGTGTGTGTGTGTGTGTGTGTGTGCGTGTGTGTGTGCGTGTGTGTGTGTGTGTAATACTGTGCTTTTTGTGTGAGACTGTCACGGTTGTTGTTATTGCTGTTGTTGTGCAATACTGTTTGCTATGCAGTGAGGGTAGAGAAGCACCAAGTGAACTTCAGCGTCGCTTGAGACGTATGTGTGCTGATGTAGCTAGTGGCATGGCATACCTCACAGAGCGTGGCTTTGTACATAGGGTGAGTGTGATCATCTCCACACAACTATTTCTATTTCCATACACTTCCATATAATAATTATTATGTTGGGTTTTATGCTGGATAGTGTGGTGTTACTGCTGCTGTAGTGTTACTGCTGCTGTAGTGCTACTGCTGCTGGTTGCAACAATGATGATGTTGATTGGCATACTATAGTGCTGCTGGTGCTGCTGCTGGTGCTGGTGTGTGGGGAGGGGGGGGGGGGGGGGGGAGGGTTGGCAGTGTTGTTCGAGTTACTACTGGGTTGATGGCAATGGAGGGGGGGGGGGGGGGTCAGTGCTGGTTCAGTTACTGCTGGGGTGGTAGCGATGGGGGGGGGGGGGGGAGCAGTGCTGTTTGAGTTACTGCTGGGATGGTAGCGATTGGGAGGAGGGGGGGGGGGGGGGGGGGGGGGGCACAGGTGTTTGCAGTGCATGAGCTCTGGCCAGTCGTCCCCATACACAAAAATGCGTACGCATTTGGATTTTCCTTACATTTCCTCGTGTTTTGGACGAAACTGAACAGTACGATGCTGTCGAATTGGGCCTGAATTTGCCCTGAACCAGCAGCTATCGAAGTAAAATTAGTTGTGTTTTGAAGACCAGACGGGAGCACTGCGTCCACGTCTTCTTTCCTGCGTTGTTTGTTTGAAAATCGGAGTGTTTTTGAGCTCGTAGTTTCGTCTTTGTTGTGGAATGGCTGTGCGTACATTCTCCTTGGAATTACCAAAGCCCCCCCCCCCCCCCTTTCCTTACATTACTAGGAGTTTTGCCTGCAGCCACGATAGTTTTTACCCCTGCTTCCATACGTCCTTTCATTGAATAGCCAAACGAAACTTTGTGGCGCGGGGGTCTCAAGTTTGTCACTTCGAGTTGTACGAGTCATACACAACAACCACATCAACACCTCAAAAGACCAAAAAAACAAGAGAGCAAAGTATTTCAACGTTGCGATTTCGCCTGGCCTACTGTGAAGATGGAGACCTCTACTCGATAGCAGATACTCGTATCAATAAGCCGGGAGGGAGAGCGTGGTGAGTAAAATGTTGGGATGAAAAGAGCCACATTCTCTCTCGGAAAAGGTCGTTCCTACACACTTGGTCTACCCAGAACTGCAGTAGGCAAAGATTTTGCATGCCTGAATCTGCACGTGCGAGATTCGCATCCACCGTGCACATAGGCAGAGCCGAAATTTTGGTACTCTCGGATTTGCCGCCATCTTGACAAGTGGCCACTGCGAAACACCTGTGGGGGGGGGGGGGGGGGAGGGCAGTGCTTCTTTCCTTGCTGCTTGTGCTGGCTTCTGATGGAGGTGATAGGGGGTGGGAATAGTGCTGTTTGAGTTACTGCTGAAGTTGGACCGATTGGGGGGGGGGGGGGGGCAGCGCTAGTTGAGCTGCTGCTGGTGTCATGGTAATGGGGTGGGGGGCAGTGCTGGTTGAGTTACTGCTGTGGTAACGATTGGGGGAACGGTGCTGTTTGAGTTACTGCTGTGGTAGCGATTGGGGGAGCGGTGCTGTTTGAGTTACTGCTGTGGTTCGATTGGGGGAGCGGTGCTGATTGAGTTACTGCTGTGGTAGCGATTGGGGGAGCGGTGCTGATTGAGTTACTTCTGTGGTAGAGATTGGGGGAGCGGTGCTGGTTGGGTTACTGCTGTGGTAGCGATTGGAGTGCGGTGGTGGTTGAGTTACTGCTGTGGTAGCGATTGGGGGAGCGGTGCTGTTTGAGTTACTGCTGTGGTAGGGATTGGGGGAGCGGTGCTGGTTGAGTTACTGCTGTGGTAGCGATTGGGGGATAGGTGCTGGTTGAGTTAATGCTGGGGTAGCGATTGGGGGAGCGGTGCTGGTTGAGTTAATGCTGGGGTGGTAGCGATGGTGGGGGGGGGGGGGGCAGTGCCGTTTGAGTTACCGCTTGTGCTAGCTTCCGATGGAGGTGATGGGGGAGGGGGTTCTGCTGGTTGAGTTACTGCTGCAGTGGTAGCGATTTGGTGGGAGGGTCAGCGCTGGTTGAGTTACTGCTGGTGTGATGGTAATGGGGGAAGGAGGAGAGGGGCCGCGGATGCAGTGTTGTTTTAATTAATGCTGGGGTGGTGAGGGGGGGGGGGGGGACAGAACAATAGAGGGTTTGAGGGATTGAGAGTGGGTAGAGGATTGTGTTCAAGATGCACTGATACATAATTATTGCAAATCTCTTTTGTGAGGGATAAAAATGCTGACTGAAATAATATGGCAACTGCTACTAAAACAAAATGAAAACTGGTGGAGACGAAAAGTCGAGAGGTTGAAAGTAAGTTTGTATTTGTGTAACAAGACTTACACAAAGGAACAGAACCACAGTGACTGAAGCTGGTAACAACAACAACTGCAAGTAAAAACAAACCCGCTCCCTCTGCTTTACAACATAATAAATATGCGTGTGGGTGTGTGTTCTTGTGTGCTTGTGGGTGTGGGTGTGTGTGTGTGTGTGTGTCTGTCTGTCTGTGTGTCTGTCTGTCTGTCTGTGTGTGCATGCGTGCGTGCATGCTTGTTGTACAGGACTTGGCTGCTCGTAACATCATGTTGGATGAGTTGAGTAATTGCAAAGTTGGAGACTTTGGCATGTCGCGTATCGTAGATGAATGCGACTACTACGTATGTCAAGGCGGTGTTATCCCTGTCAAGTGGAGCTCACCTGAAGCTATTCTCTATCGCCAGTTCTCCAGTGCTAGTGATGTCTGGTCATTTGGTATTCTCATGTATGAAGTCTGGACCTACGGTGTCAAGCCATATGGAAACTGGACCAATGAGAAGGTATTGCTGTGTGTGTGCATTGCTCTGTGTGTGTGTGTGTGTGCGCAGGGGGGGGGGGGGGGGGGGGGGGGGCGATTCACATGGCTTCGCCAGTTGTGTGGATTAGACAGTTATCTCGCGCTTGTCTTGATCTGTTTCAATCAGAATCAGATTCGCTATCGTTGCTATAAAGAGAAAATCTGTGGGTGCACATGTAGTGCACTTACAGATTTGCGTGCTTCTCTTGCGACGGGCGTATACATGGTGTGTGTGTGTGTGTGGTGTGTGTGTGTGTGTGTGTGTGTGTGTGTGTGTGTGTGTGTGTGTGTGTGTGTGTGTGTGAGTGAGTGTGTGTTGACATGGTTTGTGGTTTCTTGTGCATCAAACTCCTGTTCTTCGTTTATAGGCACATCCTCTTCCCGTTGCTAGTGTATAATGAGCTAGCTGTTCCATGTCTGTGTTGGAAACTTGGAATCATTGAAGACTTCTGAGTTTTCCTGTACTAGCTGTTGCAAATGCTCATTCTGTTCCCTGCTTGACAAATGCTCATTCTGTTCCCTGCTTGACAAATGCTCATTCTGTTCCCTGCTTGACAAATGCTCATTCTGTTCCCTGCTTGACAAATGCTCATTCTGTTCCCTGCTTGACAAATGCTCATTCTGTTCCCTGCTTGACAAATGCTCATTCTGTTCCCTGCTTGACAAATGCTCATTCTGTTCCCTGCTTGACAAATGCTCATTCTGTTCCCTGCTTGACAAATGCTCATTCGGTTCCCTGCTTGACAAATGCTCATTCTGTTCCCTGCTTGACTGTTCAGGTAATCAAAGAACTTAAGAACGGATACCGCCTGTCTTGCCCATCAGACTGCCCGTTTGAGATTTTCTGCTTGATGGAAGCTTGCTGGTAAGAGTACTACTGTCTGTCTGAGTATTGTGTGTCTGAGTATTGTCTGTCATGCTTTTCCTGTTGACTGCATCAAGAGTGCATAAACAATAGTATGCAACTGTGGTTATGGGTCAGTGCGCGGCGTGCTGCCTTCATTACATAACTTGCCTCCATCACGCTCTGAAAGTTTGCACTCAAACACACAATTTCTCGTCCAAGCGCATCCGTTTTTGCTCGATTCGTTCCAGTACCTACGCGATATCTAAATTTTGGCGTGTGAACTCAAGTTCCGTACGAAAGTTCATTTCAAACCAGAGGGAAAGTGCGGTGTTTGATTTTCCACAGAGCGCGGACTGCAGCTGAATGATGCAATGAAGGCAGCGCGCCGCACGTCTGGCCCATAGAAAAGAGATCACAGCTGCATACTCGTGCGTATGCGTGTGTGTGCGCGTGTGTGTGTGCGTGTGTGTGTGTGTGCGTGTGCGTGTGCGTGTGTATTTGTGCACATATTTCTGCTCATGTGTGTTCCTTATGTACATATACCTGTGTTATGTGTTTCATTATAACTTATAGGGAGGAAGACAAACACGAGAGGCCATCATTCCCTGAAATTGTCAATCTCTTGCAAGAAATTGATGAGCTTTTCCGGCAGCGAGAAAGACAGACGCAGCAGCAGTAGCTCCAGCAACAGCAGCAGCAGCAACAGCACAAGCAGTAGCTCCAGCAGTAGCTGCAGCAGCAGCAGCAGCAGCAGGACAAGCAGCAGCAGCACAAGCAGTGGTAACAGTATTTAGTAAGTAGTTTACACTAGCCGGCTGGCAAGTACTCTCTGTAGTTTGCTCATGACCCAAGGGACGGATGGAATTTCAGAGTTGCGTAATCATGGTTGTGATTCCATGTCCAAGTCATGTGACATGACTGAACTGTAACCAAGTCATGTGACATGACTGAACTGTAATGATGCTAATGTCATCTTGTATACAGCAACACTGCAACACTGCTAAGTGTTAGCTTGTTTGCTGTGTGCAGGTATGAGTAGTTGACAGTTGTGTTTATGATAATTCTGCTCACAAGTTGATTATACTAACTGCTGGATCTCACGTTAAAATTACATGGTAGTACTAAACTGGGAATGGCGTGCATTTAATCTGACCGCCAATCTCTATGAACACCAAGTCCTGGCTTTGAGAACATAGCATGACATCTGCTGAGCGTATTATTATTATTTACCAAACAAGGCAACTAGCATGGTATAATATTAATAGCCAATTTTCTGATTTTCTAATAATTTCGTCATGATTTGTTTGGCTTAAAGAGCAGTTGAGTTTGTGACATGAGTTTTAATCATTCTGCGTTGTAGAATTCTTCTGATATTCATGTGTACCCATTCTACCTCTGTTATGATTTTGGTTTGTTGTGTTATTTTTTGACGTGGATTGACACACACCATAACAGTCTGATTTGTTCCGTGGAGTGACCAGCGCCTCCAGAATCTGTAGTAACTTATTGGTGAAGAGCAGCTACATCTGCGAGATGGACTACTTATAGTCTGCTGCTGTAGTTACACACACACACACACACACGCACACACGCACACACACACAAACACACACACACACACACGCACGCACACACACATGCAGGGTTACACGGCCCTACGAGGCTAGCATGGTGCATGGTTTGTGTTGTGTTCTATTGCGGCGCGTTCTTGCGTTGTGTTGTGTTCTGTTGCGGTGCGTTCTTGCGTTGTGTTGTGTTTTGTTGCGGTGCGTTCTTGCGTTGCGTTGTGTTCTGTTGCGTTAATTGTGTTAGACGGGTGCTGATTGGCATGTGAGGGGGGGGGGCAGGGAAAGACATACCGTCGTATACCTGTACCGTAAAGTGCGCGGGCGCGGGAATTAGGGTGGGGCGATCAACGGTACTTTACGGTACACGTAACCAGTTTGTGCATGTAAGATCATACAGTCCAATACTGGGGTTACATAATACCATATTGCCAACCGTAGCCGACTGTTGATTGTCTGGGGGGGGGGGGATGTCTTCCGGGTGTCTATTGTCATAGGGTTCTGCAGGATACCATGTTGCTGCTAATATCTAGTCCATGTATATGACTTCTAGCTTTGTGACACGTGCCAGTATTGGTCAGCATGCAGTCCTGCAAGATATTTTTCACTGTCGAGAAGTCCTAGTTTGTGGACTTGTTCATACATGAAGATTTACTTATGCTGGCATGGCAACGATGGCAAACTTGGCTTGGCTGCTTTGACCTTTGTACCGTGTAATGAAACACAATTCTATCACGCTCAAGTAGCATACTCTTTGCTTAGCCGTGGCTGCTGCCCAGCAACCGCAGCTAGGTACCTGCTACCTAGCAACAGTAACTGAACATGTAGGTGTAGTTAATACATACTGAAGTACACTGTACATAACATAACCTGCTTTTGATGCCAGAACTCTGACCCCCCCCCCCCCTCCTCTCCCCTCCTGCTTCTAATGCCAGATACCTGAACACCCCCCCCCCCCCTCCTGCTGCCTGCCCTGCTCAGTCTCATACCAGAACCCTCCCGGAATGCATGTCTATTGCTCGTGTTTGTTTCTGTTGCTGCAACTCAACATCATGGCTTGCATTAACCATGGCAACAGATACCACGACCACCACTCAATGGTAGCCAAGGCAACAGTTGCGACCACTCACAGCAATTGAGTTCTAGACACAGCAGCCAGCGGAAAGGTACAAACGATGCGCGCGAGAGAATCATCCCTGACACGCCCTAAGAGCACACAGTCATCATGAACGCTGCAAGTATCCATTCCTACTCCTAGCTGCAAGTATCCACTCCTAGCTGTAAGTACAATGCAACAGTAGTAATTACGTTGTTTCTCTAAACATGGAATACGAAAAGAGTGTCCTAATCTACGGGTACAGTATCAAGAAGATATGTTCAGCAATGAGGGCTCAAGAAAAGCAGTGACATCAAAATAATTAAAAAATCAGAAAATGACATCATGGGTAGAGACAATGACATAATAGTACCAAGCGAGCGTACATACCATCAAGTCGCAGTCAGTCAGCAGAGATCATATCAGATAATAATCCGAGGGCAAAGTCTAACGGTGGATAGAGTTAGCTACTGGTGCATGGCCACCGCAGTGAGCATTGTCAGAGGTAGTAACTAGGGCTCAAACAGTTAGTCCGATTAACCGGTTGCAGACCGGTTAGGAAGAATTAACGGTTAACCGATAAAGATAACTTTTCAGTCAATTTTTCAAGTATCAGGTCGTTGCAAAGTATGCATTTTCGCAGGCTGTCGCACGCGTAAGCAATTTCTGGGCTGTCAACTCGGTCATATCTGGTCTCTTGGTGTGAGAGTATGTATGAATGAGCATGCAGGAGAATGTACATTTGTGCGTTGTGCTGAAAAGGGTACATTTTTTGAATGAGTATAGTCAAATATGGTTAAAAAAGAGTCCGCAGGATTGCCGTGGCTTATAGGTTATAACCGTTAAACCGACCATTAGCTTAGCAGTTAACCGTAAGGGGTAAAACCGTGACCGTTGGAGCCCTAGTAGTAACCCGATTCAAATGCTGAGTCCGGGGAGAAGGGGGAGCTAGACAGGCTACACTTAGTGTAAGGTGGTATTGGAGTCACAGCTAACTGCCCATCAATTTGTTCTTGGTCCAGTAAAGGGCTCTCTCTCAAAATATGCCCTGGTGACTCTTTCCCCCTGGAAACATCACCACCGTTCATCCGTGCAACGTGCTGTTGTTGACCGGAGTTGTTGGATAACTCAGAGTCGGCAGCGGTGGTAGTAGGTGGATTGATTTTCGAGAGTCTAGTCGACTGCGTTCGACGTGTCGATGTTGCAAGCCTTCGGCGTCTCTCGCGCGCCTTTTCCTTGATGGAGAGTTTGCGTCTCCATGCCAATGGTGACAGCACGCCACCACACAAGAGCAGTGCGCATAGAATGTTCAGAGTGTGTATGCAGGTGTACAGAGTGTAGATATGACTGGGTACGTCAGCTAGTAATGGTGAGCAGAGGTCAGTATTGCCACATGTTACTCGTGTACACTTTGCATACTGAGTGAACATTGCACCCACCTTCTCTATATCACTCTCGCTCAGCGTGCTTACAAAGTAGAGAGACAATTCTATGGTGGTACCAGCTACAAAGATGCCAACGAAGAAGAAGACAATGCGTCTCATCAACTCCACCATCATGCTGTTCGCACGCTTGGACGTGTTGCGGCTGTTGCCGGCGACGGAGCGTTTGGGCCTCCGTTGCTGCTGCTGCTGCTGCTGCTGCTGCTGCAGGCGAACGCTTTGCTTTGTGCCGTTGTTGGGCATCTCTTCTGCTGCCACAAGCGTGTCATCGTTGTCATCTGACACCGCATTGCGCTGAGATGCTGCCATGGATGTGTGCCGACCTTGGAATCGTTTGGATTTCCTGTAGAGGCCAATGAGGCGACGACAGCCATCCCCTATGCAGATGAAGGATAGTATTGTGGCAGTGAGCTCAATGGCGTAGCGAACTTTGTCGGATGTCCCGTCCACACAGATGTGCACTAACTGATTTGTATGATAGTTGCTGTTGGTCGATATACCAGTGATAATAGTAGTTGCAGCCAGTACAATGGCTATGCCAATACATTCACCCCAGCCTTGTATATCTACAGCATACCAGCGACTCTTTGTCCACAGCTGCAGTTTCACGGCCAGCTGCCACCAGGCAGCAGAAACAAACAATGTCATGAAGCGAAAGAGAAACACACCAAACGTGTTGATGGCACACGAGTATGATGCGAGCGGATTACGTTTCAAATCAGCTGACGTAGCCGATGTCATATCGGCATTACAACTGATACTCCGTACTGACAATAGCTCCAGAAAGGCCGGTAGCAAGTACGCACCGTAGAAGAACACAGCAGCTGCCAAGTACAACATGAGTCGGCTAGGATACTCCCACATGGCTTTGAATCCAGAGCATATTCCCGACACTACAACCAGGAGCGGCAGCACCGTAAGGGCCAGGAATGCTATAGCAGCCCAATACGCTATAAACGTTCGTGTCGTACGCTGTGAGTATGCCCGCTCAACATTGCAATGTCGCGCACAGTAGATACGACCTTCCAGTTCCTCGATGAGAGTATCCTTACTTCCTCTAGATGTAGTTAGGTCATCCAGAAGTTTCTTTACGCCAAGAATATCAGCCGTTATTTGTCCACGCAGGATAGTCACTTCGTCCACTTGGGCCTCTTCATCTTCCTCTTCATCTTCCCCTTCATCTTGGCTTGTAGCAGCGGGAGCAACAGTAGTAGCAACAGTAGTAGCAGCAGCAGTGGCATTACCTGTGTCAGTACTGCTGCTGTTATCTCTGTCATCCTCGTGGGAAGTGTCGTCGTCCTCAACTGCAACTTGTAAGTCAACAGGACATAATTCACGCAACCTTTGTTCAATGAGGTGGTCATCATGCTCGCCCTGAAGCAAGTTATCGACAGTTGTCCCTTGGAGATTACTGAAAAAGGAATCATTGGGGAGGCGACTTCGCTCTACAGCAACAAATGGGAACGGACACCATTGTTCAGATGGTATTCTGGTCAACAAGGCATCACGGCAGGCTTTTATTAGTGTTTGGTTTGCCTCGTGGTCATATGAGCATTCTTGCGCAGAGGACACGGTGACGTTTCTCAGATCACCACGGCAATCTCTGACAACATTACTCAACTGACTGCTTTCGCTACAGTAGATACGGGCGAGGATATGGAGAAAATAGACAAAGCGACTGTTTTGTGACACGCTGGGCAGAAGCACAAGTTGTATATGCCAAGCCTCCAAACACAATCCAGACAATGCGCTAGGTGCATCAGTGACCGGCATACACGTGTCGTTACTCTCCGTCAGCACACTGCAGAGTATCTCAACATCCGATAGGTCTGTACAGGATGATAGTGATTGTGCAGTCACACTGGTAGTTCCCATCACACCATCACCATCACCATCACTGCTGCTGCTGCTGCTGCTGTTCTGGTGACGGTGGTTGAAACGGCCGATGAACAACTGCAGGCCTATAAGAACACGATGTAAGATCAATGCGCTGTCGTTATCACCCGGGGACAAACCAAACCAGCCATTCTCTTGCGCGTGTTCAATATACATACACTCAGTCTGCAGCTGCACACACTGTGTGTAGTTGTGCCTAGATGATGTAGCCTGCTGCTGCCGCTGTCCCTGATCTCCTGCCGACGTCTCCTGCTCACCAACGTCCATCTCATTTGTGGACATAGTCGCATCACCATCACCCGTTGACGATATCACATCAACTGGGCGCATCATAGTGGCTGTACTCAAACCCAGACTGCCATGGCCACTGTCTGATGTTGTCATGGCTAATGTAGTTGCTACCAGCATCAGGCTCAACCAGGCTGGTGGTGCAGGCAGCAGCCGTATAGCAGCACCACTGCCTACCATAGACACCATTGCTCACAATGCCCAGTGCAGGGACCCTCCCCGCAGCAGCAAGCACCAAGCAAGCGATGGCTGACTTCACAGATCCAGCAGCAGTCCTGGTCTACGTCTGCATCCGTGTCTGTATCCACGTCCGTGTGTGTCTCTGTGTCTGGTTCCGGCTATAGGGATGTAGCACACCTAGGTTCGCTATCTTACCAATAGCAGTACTGGTTCATTAATGCTGTTGGATGGTTGTGGTGATGGTGATGGTGTTGGTGATAGTGATGGTGATACTAGATGGTGATAAAGATCATGATGCTAGAGGAGGTGATAGAGGCAACTGCATGGAGTGTACATTAGCAACTTGTAAGATAACAGAATAATTATATTCATGTAGGGACAATGACATGTACACCACCTGATGATCTGCCCTGTAGTGGCTGAGTCCATACAGATGCTTGGTAACCTGAAGAAGTACAAGAGAGCATACAACACACCAATTTTGTTTAGAAGTGGTGACTGGTGCTGAGCTAGAATGGGATTCATACAGACATATGACATCATACAGTAGATATGTGACATCATACAGTAGATATGTGACATCATACAGTAGATATGTGACATCATACAGTAGATATATGACATCATACAGTAGACAAAGCTGACTATTGAGCAGAACAATTAGTGATCACAGATTTTCATTTGCACTTGCCGACTACTAGAAACTGGTCACGTGGGTCATCCACCATCTAGACCCCCCCTCCAGCACAGTGCTACATAACGGTACACAGTGATTTTCAATGCTGTGCTCCTACTGCAGTGCTACAGGTCAGAGAAATAATACCAAGTGCCCTATGAATAAACTAGTGCTGTGCTTTGCGGCGGGCCGGGTCACGGTGGGTCACGGTGGGTCACGGTGGGTGTGAGTAGAGTGCCTGGTTGCTGGTTCTCAGCAGCCCAGCAGGCCAAAGCTCAACACCTCTGAATAGAATGCACTGCCCATAACTGATAAGGCGTTACATCAACGGGATTGAAGTATCATTTCTCTGAGATCTATAATGCTCTTTTCTCAAAGGCAACCCAGACTAGGCCAGAGGTTTTCAGGCTGTGGTGTGCAAGTCTGACTACGATAGATAACTGTGAAGCTCAAAGTTGCACAGTACGTGATGACATACTGTAGCACCACTAGTGAGCTGAACATGATACTTAAATTAAGCAAGACATTGTAGCATATCATTAGATGATACAAATTATCAGACACCCAGGCCAGCATGTCTGCATCTGGATAAAACCAGTAAGAACTGCCAGTGCTATCCAAGTGCTGCTCCTACTGTTGCTGCTTCCACTACTGCAAGTCGTCTATGGGCTTTGTCGAATGAACCTTTGGTTTAAAATTGACCTATGGTTTACGAGATGAAAACATGGACAAATGTGGGGCGCAAGTCATACGCTACAGACCACCAACTACTTAGACGAGATATTCAACAGTCAGATGTGCACAATGACGTCTCAGTACTCCTTGTCAGTTTGGTGCTAGATTGTGCACGTCTGCCTGTTCAAAATCTGGTCAGTTAGTTTTATTAGTGAAGGCCTATAATTTTAGCAGGCTCTTTCTTTCGGTAGTGCCTTGGTACAGCAATGATCTACTCTGCAAGCAGTGACTGCGAACAATAACTGCCCGCGTTTAGTATGGTATGGGCTAACTTTGAATACTTTCCTACAATTTCCCCCACAAACATGGATTTCCTATAAAGCTCTTCCACTCCTAATGTGAGAGCTCCTAATGTCGCTGCTGTTGTGGCTAATTTCGTACCGTGATAGTTCACATATTCACATATTCATTCCCAGTTCAGAGCAACAATACATGTCACAGGACCTCTCACTCTCAATTTACACAACCATTACTGGCATAAGGGCCCTAGAAGCATGACTGAGCGAACCTAAAACTGCTGACAGTGATTGTGACTTTGTGTGTGTGTGTGTGTGTGTGTGTGTGTGTGTGTGTGTGTGTGTGTGTGTGTGTGTGTGTCCTCAGGTGTGTCCTCGGGCAGTGTTGGGGACGGTTTGAACTTTTTAGCTCTCGCCCTTTGGCAGTTTTTCGTCCAAAGTTCTTTCTCCGTGGGACGACTCTGGGCTTCCAGGGTCGTCCCAAGGGCGGTGGCCCTTGACTGCGCGCGTGGGAGCTCACGACATCAAGACTGGGTGGTTTCCTGTTGCCACCACTTGTCGTCGTCCTGCGCGCGCCGGTTCGTGTAGATTGGCTCTCTACTCGGACGTCTATCTAGTAAGCCCTTAGTACAATGGCGAGAGAGGAGACGAGGAAAAAGAGGAGACGGAGGTCGTGGATAAAATTTGGCTCGTGGAATGTCCGCAGTCTGGTGAATTGTGATGGCCCAGTTGAGACGGCGACAACTCGAAATTTGAAAAATTCAAACCAAGTGAATTGCATCGTGGAAGATAGGAAGATCAACATCGTCGTTCGCGAAGCTCGACGACTTGGTATCGAGACCCTTGGACTCCAAGAGACGAAGTGGTTTGGCAACAATGTATACAATGTTGAGGATGCTGTTGTTGTTGCTTCTGGTCGACCGACACCCGTGGAAAATTTCGCTCGTGGCGAGGGAGTCGCGCTCGTGATGCGGGGCCGCTCAGCGCTGGCGTTTGCAGCAGGCGGCCGACAGTGGACAGCTGTGTCTTCTCGTGTGATGGTCGTAAAGTTGCAGTTTGCTCTGGAGTCTGGCAAGTTGCAGTGGGTTCATGTTCTTGTTTGCTACGCTCCCACTTTCCGCAGTAGTCGTGATGAAAAATTCAAATTTTTCAATTCGCTTGAACACGTGCTTCTGTCAATTCCGGTCTCTGATAAGCTCATCGTACTCGGAGATTTCAATGCTCGAGTTGGTTCAGGGCAGCGTGATGACGAGTGGCACAGAGTTCGTGGTCCTTTTGGTACTGGAGCTATGAATGAGTCTGGTGAACGTTTACTCTTGTTCTTGGCTCTGCATGGTCTGCAAATCTGTAACACCTGGTTCAAGAAGCGGGACGCAGAACTGCACACATGGTAACACCCACGCTCGCAGGCATGGCACTGTATTGACTTTGTCTTCACTAGGCGAGCGGATCGTACCAACTGCATGGACTGTCATGTTGTTCGCCGTGCAGAGTGTAGCACTGATCACAGATTGGTGTGTCTGACCTATCGCCTTCCGGCACCAGTCCACCGCCAGCGCCTGCCACCGCGAAACCCTGGGAAACGTATGTAAGCCAATTGAAGACGAGTACGGGTATGAGTGAGGAGGAGCGGGAAGTTGTTGAGTGCAACAGGGCAGTGTACCGAAGTGGTCTTGGTGATCGGCTGAAATCGTGTCACGTCACCCATGAAGACACCTGGCAGCCTATCAAGTCGGCGATTGTTGATGCTGCCGAAGCTTCCATCCCTGCACGGAAATCTCGACGTCAGCCTGACTAGTTTGCAGACAGCGCAACAATCCTTGAACCCAAGCTGCAACATCGAAACCGTGCCTATGCCCAGTGGCTTCAGTCTGCTGATCCCACTGACCTTTCAGCTTTCTGCAAGGCCCGTAGTGCAGCGCGTACTGCAGTTCGAATGGCAAAGCGTGTCTGGTTGCAGAGAAAGGCGGATATGGCACAATCTGGCAAGTTCAGTGGGGAGCGCGTCTGGTCAGCCATCCGGGACATCCAGCGCTGCTACTATGGTATGAAACCTGTGGCCTCTCATTCCATTCGCAAATCTGATGGAACCCTGTGTATGTCAGCGGAGGAAGAGCGTGTTTGCTGGCAGCAACATTTCACCCGTGTTCTCAATGTCATTAGTGTGTTCGATGTCTCTGTCTTCCAGCAGTTGTCCTGCCGGGAAGTTGACAACAGCCTGGCATACCCTCCAACAGCTGTGGATATTGAGTGCGCTCTCCATCATCTGGCTAACGGCAAATTGGCTGGTTCGTCTCTCATCGTTGCATCGTTGCTGAGCTGTTGAAGCACGGCTTTTCTGTACTTCGGCCACACCTGGATGCACTCTTCTCCACATGCTGGTCAGCATCATCTGTGCCTCAGGAGTGGAAAGATGCTGTGCTCGTCCCTATTCCAAAAAAAAGGTGACTTGAGCAAGTGTGACAACTGGAGGGGAATAGCCCTATTGGACGTCGTCGGGAAGCTTCTCACACGTGTTATTCAGGACCGGCTGCAACCTCTTGCTGAGGCACATCTCCCTGAAAGACAGTGTGGTTTTCGGCGTGGGCGATCCTGCACAGATGCCATCTTTTGCGTGCGACAGGTAGTTGAGAAGGCATTCGAGCACCGCTCTAAGGCCTTTCTCGTTTTCATCGATCTCCGCAAGGCGTACGACTCGGTACCACGCGCTGCACTGTTGCTGGCCATTGAGGTGTATGGTGTGCCTGGGTCACTCATCCAGCTGATTGACGGCTTCCATTCAGGCATGCAGGCTGCTGTTTTGGTTGATGGTGATGTGTCTGGGAGCATCTCGGTTGAGAATAGTTTGCGGCAAGGGTGCGTTATGGCCCCACTGTTGTTTAACCTGTACTTTGGTCTTGTGTTGGAAGCATGGCGTTCAGCTATAGCAGCAGCTGGTGTTAACGGTGTGTCCCTGATATCTTCAATCCATGGAAGTGGCAATCTATTTCCCAAGCGAACCCGTCAAACTGGCACGACATCGGTCAACGACCTGGAGTTTGCAGATGATGCAGCACTACTTGCACCATCCCGTGAGTCAGCTCAACTGGCTTTGGAGCTGTTCAGCAATGTTGCTTCTTCCTTCGGCTTGACTCTGAGTACAGCGAAGACCAAGTTCATGGCCGTTGGTGCAAATTTATCATGTGCTGACCGCCTTCCGCTCTTTGTTGGTCCGGAGGAGATCGAAAGTGTCAATTCCTTTGTGTATCTTGGCTCTGTGATAACTGCTGACACCCGCTCATCTGCAGATGTGGCCAGAAGACTCGGTAAGGCAGCGGCAGCTTTCGACCTTATGCGCCGTGTCTTTCTTGACCGAAACCTTTCCATCGCCACCAAGTGCCATCTTTACGATGTTTGCGTTCTGTCCACATTGCTCTATGCCTGTGAGTGCTGGACTCCGCTGAAGAGAGACATGGTTGCCATCAACAACTTCCACCACCGCTCTCTCAGGTTCATTCTGGGTGTGTCCCGGCTCGATCAACAGCTGCAGCATGTCAACAACCAGGAGCTGCGAAGACGCTGGGGTGATATAGCACTGCCATCTGATACCGTCAGACACCGCCGTCTGCAGTGGCTTGGGCATGTCGCCAGAATGCCAGATATCCGGCTTCCGAAGCTGATACTGTTTAGCTTCTTCTCAGATCCACGCCCAGCCTGTGGGCCACGACTGCGATGGAAAGACCTCGTCGCACGTGATCTTCGTTTCGGTGGCATAGTGAATTGGCTCACTTTGGCCCAGGATCGCCCAGCATGGCGCGAGGCAATTGCAAAGACTCCGGATGATCTCGTGGAGTGCAACAACAACAAAGTCACCTGCAGGGTTTGCAACCGATCATTCACTGCCCGTGGGATTCACCGTCACAAGTGCTCAGCTGTACGGTCCTTACCTGTTGCCCAGCAGCCTGGGGCCCGTCACTGTGGAGTTTGTGACCGCTGGTTTCAAAGCGCTGGCGGTTTTGCAGTTCATCGTTGTGTGGAGCGTAAGACATCGGACGAAATACCAACTGTTTCAACGAGATGCAGCCTGAATTTGGACTGCTGCCAGCACCATTGCTCGACCTGTGATCGCTGCATGAAGAGTCAGGCTGGTTTTAACCGCCATAATTGTACTCGAGGCAAACGACTGCGAAAGGACCAGACGACTAATCTGCCCATTCAATGCAGCCTATGTAGCGACGATTCTCCCGCCCCGCAGGACCTCACCCGCCACCGAAGACAGAAACACTAGCTGTGTGTAGAACGGTCCCCTTTCAACTCAATTACTCTCCTTGTTTCTTTTCCTTTCTCGCTGTTGTCTCCCGCTTCTGGGAGCGACGTGGCCATTTTGTGGCAGTTGTACATAGTACATAGTAGTGTGTGTGTGTGTGTGTGTGTGTGTGTGTGTGTGTGTGTGTGTGTGTGTGTGTGTGTGTGTGTGTGTGTGTGTGTGTGTGTGTGTGTGTGTGTGTGTGTGTGTGTGTGTGTGTGTGTGTGTGTGTGTGTGTGTGTGTGTGTGTGTGTGTGTGTGTGTGTGTGTGTGTGTGTGTGTGTGTGTGTGTGTGTGTGTGTGTGTGTGTGTGTGTGTGTGTGTGTGTGTGTGTGTGTGTGTGTGTGTGTGTGTGTGTGTGTGTGTGTGTGTGTGTGTGTGTGTGTGTGTGTGTGTGTGTGTGTGTGTGAAAAATAGGGACTCACTGGCCGGAAAAAGTCACTTCAAACAGCTGTGTGGTGGATACCAGGCTAAAAATAGTGGCGGTCAATTCATCAGCCTTGCAAGCTGTTGAATAGTGTAATCCCAGCACAAGTTGCTATGTCTAACATAGCTGTTCGCTATCATCGCTTCCATCGCTTCCGCGATGGGCATGTCTGAGGTCTGAGGTCTGAGGTGTGTGTGTGTGTGTGTGTGTGTGTGTGTGTGTATGTGTGTGTGTGTGTGTGTGTGTGTGTGTGTGTGAAAAATAGGGACTCACTGGCCGGAAAAAGTCACTTCAAACAGCTGTGTGGTGGATACCAGGCTAAAAATAGTGGCGGTCATCAGCCTTGCAAGCTGTTGAATGGTGTAATCCCAGCACAAGTTGCTATCATACGGTCTAACATAGCTGTTCGCTATCATCGCTTCCGCGATGGGCATGTCTGAGGTCTGAGGTGTGTGTGTGTGTGTGTCACAGTGCGTGTGTGTGTGTGTGTGTGTGTGTGTGTGTGTGTGTGTGTGTGTGTGTGTGTGTGTGTGTGTGTCACAGTGCGTGTGTGTGTGTGTGTGTGTGTGCACGCATGTGGTGTGAACGTTGAAAAGTACTGGCAGCACACAACGTCTCTCCAGTCAACTAGTCGATCTACCACTGACGGTTTAAAAATACGCAACAATGACTATGTAATAATTCTATCTGTTTTCAACAATTATTGTTGAAAACAGATAGAATGTTTATTACATAGAAAACATGACTGTACATGCACACGTCACTGAGATCTACCATGATCTACCATGATCTACCATGATCTACGGTCGGAGAAGACCCACTCGTCCGAGATGTTATCAAAACCACCAACAGTTTTGAACTCTTCGTTTGAACATTTCAGTGATTCCAGACTGATGTCTTACCTTGGGTTAGTGTAGGCTAACCATGCACCTCCGCGGTATGGCAGGGTGCGGTACAGTGCGCTAAGTGTCAGTCGTCCTGCAGGATAGTCCAACTCCAACGCCAGGCCAACACACACACACACAGCGAGTGCGGCGCAGGTACACGAAGCAGCAGTGCAGGTAGTGTAGATGAGCTGCTGACTGTGAACGACTTGACCCTGCCGAACCTCCCTGCCGAAACGGCACACGCGCAAATTCGGAGTGGCCGTGTGATTACTGAACCTAAGAAGTCCTTGAATTAATAAATAATCAAGTTAATCTGTGGGTAGGGACAGTTCTGACTGTCTCCACTACTCACAACAGCTACTCGATCATTCCTGATTTCTGTTCCGAAAGGGGTTAGTTCCAGCTATATAACTGCTATGTGCGACGCCGCACGGGTAGATCTACTGGCTACCGGTCGTGATGTCAGTGACGATTTGTATCGATCGGCACCAGCCTCGGGCACAGAGTCCACAGACTCGTCGTGACTATCTCAGCTTTGAGCCGAACGCTGTCACTGGTCACGAATCCTGTTCAGACCGTGCAATGCGTGCATGCCACACGCGAATAGCGTCTAGTAGCAGTAGTACTAGTAGTAGTGGATACTCCTCGATAGAGTTTAGTACTAAAATAGTAGTGACACGACATAGGCACAATGACATGATGAAGGCCAAGGAGCAGTCAAGCGTTCCCCTAACTAAGCATCTTCACATCCAGCAGATGATCTTCTTCGCTAGTCCGATATCGATATCATCATTCAACGACGTACCTAGTAGGTCTACCTGCAGCCTGTCACTGCTACTGCTCTGGCAAACAAATGCCGACCAGCACGGCAGCAGTAGCAGCAGCAGCAGTCTTCAGACTACACAGTACACACGGACTGTAACAGGGGAAAGGAGTCCGAGACTAGAGATCTTGACCTACAACAAGAGTACACGTGTACACACGTTATCCTTCAGTTTGGCTTCGTGAGACAACTTTTCCGTTTTCGTGCTCTGACTGCGCTTGCCCTGGGTAGAGCACAGAATGACAGGGGTGTAGACTAGAGCAGTAGAGGTCTGCGGTGATCATGGTGCTGCCGGTGATGTGACAGTCGTACCTTGACATGATTGCGCTGAATGTCATCATTATTATAAAGTATGATACTATTGAATGTCACTACACGACGTATCGTCGGGAACTGTGTCACATTGTGGTGGACGTTCTCGTCCTGCAGACGAGCAGTTACAATGTACAGGCATGTACCTGTACCTGGCTGTACCGGGTGTAGTGTAGGTTGTACATTGTACGACACTGTCAACAGTTGAACAGTTGAACTGCTCTTCAGAGGCACATGTATAATAACTGCATGCACAGAGGAGAAGGCTCAACACAACTACTACGAGAAGTAGTAGTTACTTGGACCGCTTACAAAAGGCACAAAATTAATGAGGCTTGTACGACTAGTACTTGTAGAGTTTGTCACAACTCCGAGTTTCACTATCAGGCGACTTGTGATACGTCGTTCAGTGGGACTTGGTCAGTATACATGTATAAACCGATAATCTGGTGATGGTTGGTAGGTGTTGAAAGATTCGGCGCAGAAAAATTGCCATGGCCCAGTGGTCATGTGGGTGGTCACTTGCTACATTGTACACACGTAGATCTACACGTGTATTGGATAAGGCACCCCGGTCCCCAGGGCCCTCAGCACTGGCCAAAGTCGTACTCGCCTTTTTCCTTGTGATAGTCCGCGGTGCAGGTAACAAGCACTTTGTTGTAAGATTAGCTACTTCTTTTTAAAAGTAATATTGTACACATGTTTAGTAAGCATGTACGTACTGTGCATGCCGCGAAGAGGGCCGCCATTGCATCAAATGCACACCGGGCAACAGCAAGAAGTGTTCGAACAGAGCAACCACCGCTACCGTACCTAGCCCCGTACCCGTACCTAACCGCGTAGTAGGCACACATGCACAGGCCCAGGCGTCTCCGCTTCCGCACTTGCCACCCTCAGGCGGCGACGACAACCCAACACTATCAGGGACGATCGCTCGCGACGCCCAGCTTCTGGCCTCACTGGCTGACAGTCAGGATGATGTCGCCAACGCAAGCTCCCAAGACGTGGTTGAAGAGCTCGAGGATCTGGTACAGATGAAATTTCTGGCAGCATTCGGTGCACCACTGGTGAACATGGAAGCAGAAATCGGCCCTCAACCCGAGATACATGTGTTGTGGCAGCGAACTGTCGCCCTTCGCGGAAAGCAGTACGCTCTGCCAGATGGCAATGTTGGTACCCGTTTCATCAATATCCTTGCAGAGGAAATTGAACTGGCCAATAACAAGCGGCAGCCCTCCGAGCGTGAGTTCATCTTTCCTGCGTTGATGCTGCAGAGAGACAAGATGATTCGGAAAGCTAAGGACATCCGGCCGCTTCTTTCACGCCGCATGGATATGTGGGAAGCTGGCCAGCTACGTGAATTAGTGCGTGAAGCAGAGCGCTGCGATCAGCGCCTACGCTCCGCGCTGAGCCCCATGACCGAGGAGAAGGTGCAGCAGACGTTCAAACGGCTGATGTTGGAAGGGCGAGTGAGAGCTGCAGTCCGTCTCATAACCGACCGTAGTGGTGGTGGGGCCCTGGACCCCAACTCCGAGGCAATGGGCAAGACAGGACCGCTTGGCAAGACTGTTCTAGAAGCACTGGAGGAAAAACATCCTGCCCAAAAGCCAGTCAACCAGAACTCGTTCATCCCCTGCGACGATCTCCCGGCATTGGAGAGGGTGGACATCACGGGAGCTCACATTGAACATGTTGCCAAACGGCTCTTCGGCAGTGCAGGACCATGTGGGACCGACTCTGATCACTGGCGTGCATTCCTGCTGCGATTCGGAAATGCCAGCACTCGTCTGCGAGAAGCAGTTGCCGCTTCAACTCGGAGGCACGCCAACGAAGTTGTGCCGTGGTCTGACATCAGAGCCTTTCTTGCACGTCGTGGTATTGCGTTGGACAAGCAACCCGGTGTCCGTCCTATCGGCATCGGCGAGTGTCGCCAGCGCATTGAGGCAAAGGCAATGGCCCTTGCAACCGGCCAGGATGTGCAGGAGACCTGCGGTGCAGACCAGCTATGTTCTGGGGCCAAGGCTGGTATTGAAGCTGCTGTTCACTCCATGTCCCAGCTATTCAATCAGGACGAGACCGAAGGTCTTTTACTGGTGGACGCGGCAAACGCGTTCAACTCCATCAGTCGGCCAGCAGCTCTCTGGAACTGCAGGGTTTTGTGGCCGCGCTGTTCCAGGTTCCTCTTCAACTGCTATCGGGGCTTCCCAGTGGTAGTTCTGAAAGACCCAAATGGCGCCGGCACCCATGCCATCCTCAGCCGCGAAGGAACAACCCAAGGCTGCCCATTAGCCATGCTCATGTATGCTATCGGCATACAGCCCCTCATCGAGCGTCTCAAGGATCCAAGTCATCACATCCAGAATTGGTACGCAGACGACTCGTCGTGCCTCGGGAGGTTGCTGCGAATCAAGGAGTGGTTCCTCTCCCTCCTTGAGCAGGGTCCAGCGTTTGGGTACTTCGCCGAGCCCTCGAAATCCATCGTGATCGTCAAGCCCCATCATGTGGAGGCCGCCAAGACAATCTTCGGCAATCTAAACGTGCAAGTCACCACCTCCGGTCGCTTCCTGGGTAGCTACATTGGTGATCCAGAGGGAGTCTCTTCCTTTGTCCGTAGCAGAGTGAGTGATTGGGTCGATGGTGTCAAATGTCTTGCCAAGGCAGCAAAGGCGTACCCGCAGTCAGCACACTCCGCGTTTACGAGATCCCTCTCGTGCGAGTGGACCTACCTCCAGCGTGTGTTGGAAGGCAACGAGACCGAGTATACTCCCCTGCGGGACACTATCCGGCACGTATTCGCCCCCAGCTTGCTAGGTCGTGAGGTTCTTGACGTTGAGCAAGATCTGTTGGCCCTTCCAGCCAAAGTGGGAGGTCTCGGCCTGGCCAATCCCGTTACGTCAGCCCCTGATGCTCATGCCACATCGAAGCGCGCCACTGAGATTCTGCAGGCTGCCATTTGCACCGGTGCACCGGTCGACATGGCTCACCACATCAGCCAGTGCCGTCAAGTCACCAGCGAGGTCAGCCGTGCTCGAGACCTGCAGATGACGGAACGTAGTAAAGTCCTCCGAGCTGCGCTTCCGCGTCGCCAACAGCGGACCCTCAACCGCATCGTTGATGGCAACGCTTCCGGCTGGTTGACCGTGCTTCCTCTCAAGCAGGAAGGTTATGACATGTCGGCGGTCCAGTTCCGCGATCAGTTGGCCATTCGCTATGGCCAGGAGCCGAACGCTCTCCCGTCGCATTGCGATGGCTGTGGAGCTGCTTTCTCTCTACAGCATGGTCTGGATTGCATGAAGGGTGGGCTCATCAAGTGCGGGCACAACGATGTCCGCGACTTCGATGCCCGGCTGGCAGACGTTGCATGGGGAGGTGTGGCTGTCGAGCCGGTGATGGTACCTGTGCAGGATGGCAACAACCGCCCCACACTGCAGGCGGATTGGCTGGTCCGGGGAGTTTGGGAAGGAGACAGGGTGGCGTACTTTGACAACCGCATCGTGGATGCCGACGCACCCAGCTATGTCCGCTCGAACCTCTCTTGGAACGCCGTATCCAACAGTGCTGCCTCTTCCAAGAAGAGAAAGTACAAGGCGGCCGCAGAGGAGCTGCGAGCATCCTTCACCCCGCTGGTCTGCTCAACTGATGGTGCACTGCACACAGAGTACCGTGCGTATCAACGGCGACTTGCTATGCGCCTTGCCTCCAGGTGGGACAAGTCCTACAGCAACGTCATGTCCTGGGTGCGGATCCACCATCAGTTTGCTGTTTTCCGGGCTGTCGACCTTCGTCTCCGCGGTTCACGTCGTCGTCTCGGTGGGCTGGCAATTTGCGATGGTGTCGGCCTTGGCGTTGGCCGTTAACATTCATGCGTATGGCACTTGTTGTTGTTGTGTGTGTGTGTGTGTGTGTGTGTGTGTGTGTGTGTGTGTGTGTGTGTGTGTGTGCGTGTGTGTGTGTTTGTTTGCTTTCCTTTTCTTTTCAGCTGTCATTTGCCCTGATCATGCCGCATGCGTGTTTCACAGCATAGTACGTTTCCGCTCATTTTCTTCTTCAACACACGCTAGCTGTATTACTTTGTTCTTGCCCGTACAAGAGGCTTTACCATAGGTCTGACATTGTACAATCACGTACATGGATATGACATTGTACAATCACGTACATAAGAAAAAGAAGTTACTTACTATGTACTGCGCATATACTGCGCATGTACATTGTGCGTTGTATTGTGCATGTACTGTGCATGTACTGTGCATGTACTGTGCATGTACTGCGCATGTACATTGTGCGTTGTATTGTGTTGCAATTAGCTAACCTAATGTATCCACAGGCGCCCTGTATCACACATTGGCACACACCATCGCAGATCCAGTGGCATGCACAGGCCTGAGGCAAGCCACCTGCTGAGAATGAACTGAGAATGAACACTGCCACACACGTTGGTACTTGAATCGAAGATTGGAGTTGGTATCCGCTTGGACTGCTAATGTAATGTCGTATGATGAAATCGAGGAGACAGGAAGATTATTATGAGAGAGAGAACATTGACCAACACCAGTACCAGTACTGGCAGTAGATCTACTAGTACAGCTGCAGTATGATGTTACTCACAAAACGTTACAGTAGCTATCCTTGTCAGGGACAGGGACAATGATCTTCAGAGAGGACCTCTCCACCCGATAACTAAATTACTTCAGAAATGTCAGATTGTTGGAATGAAAACAGATAATTATAGAACATTAGAAGTGTTGTTTCACAAGGGACAAGTGCCTCCTGGTCACTACTCTACTCTAGTACTAGTGACTCTACATCAAATACACACGACTAGTAACTGTAATACATGTACGTATGTAGTACTTCAAAGTAGCGGTAAACACTGGCAAACTGAAACAGCACTTAATTTAAAAATTGCCTCCGAATGCAGGATGTTCTGGTCATTTCAACATTCACTTCGTTGATGAAGTAGCTGATATTCATGCGTGTGCCAGGCTACGTGCGGGCTATCTCAAGATCACACAACGAGGCATACATTGAATCCAAGAACCCGGGCCTGGGTTTAATTGCAGTCCAACCACTCTGCTCTGCACGAAGGTCCACACCACAGCTCCTAGTTTACCCTTTTTCCCGCCACTACCAGAAGACCTTTGTCCTATGCGCTAATACGGCTCTTTCTGCAAACTCCCAACTAATAATTGAAGCATCGGATCATCGGATGTCACGGATGTGCACCTATGTAGGAATTGTTACAAGTCATGTTGTACTATCGTAATAATACTTGTAATAATACTATTGATGGACTTCTTCGCATAATGCTAATAATATGCTGTAATGCCACTAATGGACAAGTACAGTCAGCCGCGCGCAGTATCTTTGTTTTTGTGGCACATGCAATAACTAACTTTTCTGGTGTTAGACCGACTTCTGAGGCAAGAGCGCAATGTGGTCGTGTGGTGTATTGGATTCCAGGCTGTAATGGTGACTGAAATATTGTGCTGTTATTAGGTAATACTGCTGGCCTACTGCTGGCCTACTGCTGGCCTACTGCTGGCCTACTGCTGGCCTACTGCTGGCCTACTGCTGGCCTACTGCTGGCCTACTGCTGGCCTACTGCTGGCCTACTGCTGGCCTACTGCTGGCCTACTGCTGGCCTACTGCTGGCCTACTGCTGGCCTACTGCTGGCCTACTGCTGGCCTACTGCTGGCCTACTGCTGGCCTACTGCTGGCCTACTGCTGGCCTACTGCTGGCCTACTGCTGGCCTACTGCTGGCCTACTGCTGGCCTACTGCTGGCCTACTGCTGGCCTACTGCTGGCCTACTGCTGGCCTACTGCTGACCTACTGCTGGCCTACTGCTGGCCTACTGCTGGCCTACTGCTGGCCTACTGCTGGCCTACTGCTGGCCTACTGCTGGCCTACTGCTGGCCTACTGCTGGCCTACTGCTGGCCTACTGCTGGCCTACTGCTGGCCTACTGGTCTTTGTTCTTCCCTAGAGGTTGTAACAGTACTGATTGTGCATTCATCATGTACTGGCCATGTTGCTGCTGATTACATGTACATGTACATGTACATGTCACTTACTTTGAGAAGGGGGTTAACAAACTGCCAATCACCCCAATGCTTGAAACCATGAAGAAGTAACCAAAGCAAAGCATTCATCTACCTAACAGTGTTGTTACTTAGTACTTGTAGTATGGCCAGCAAGCTGCGTGTCAAACATCACCCCCCCCCCCCCCCCCTAACTCACTGGCAGCCATCGTGCTGCGTTGTGACATTCCGTGATTGCGTATACATGTAGGTACATGGGCTATCTAACATAGTAACATAGTGTATGTACATGCACATCATGATGATGATATCGTCTATGATACATGTACATGCACATGTAAGGGTAGCTTTTAACATTTTGACTTCAAGAAGTGGATTACTAGTAACGCAGTGATCAAAGCCATGCTGCTATGATAGCCGTGGTTCTTCCTGTACCGACACCCTTGTGGGAATGAAGTCCGGGCCTCGGCTACCTTGTGTGGATGCATAATGCCATAATGACATTGAACCTGTTACGTAAGACACTGGTACTGATGCATTCATAACTAGAACGCTCAGTACTTGTAGAAGAAAGCACAACATTAGCATTGGCAGCAATCTTTCCTTTTCCTGGCATATCATAGCCATAAGCTACATTGCACAATCATGTACATTCATGTACATGTCACGATCATTATGACTCGTAGGCGTGTGTGTGTGTGCGCACACGCGTCTGTGCAGGTCTGAGTGTGTATTTGTGTGTATTAAATATGTGTGTAGATAACGATATGTGAGGGCAACCAGGCAGACACCGTGGGTTGGTCAAAGACCACGATTGAGATACGAGAGGTACCTGGTTCAAGTCCTGCCTGGGAGCGTTTTTTCCAGCCGTGCTGCTACCCACAGTCAACTGGGAACTTGTGGCCAGGCACAAGGGGTACATGGATGCAGCTAATGGGGTCGTTCTCGGCACTTGTGCCAGTGGTTGTGAGACTCATCCACTCACCCCCACCGTTAGGCGCTGCATCTGCCGCTAGGGTTTACCGGGTGTTAGCGGCCGTCGTGAGTTCCCTTCGGGAACGGACACGATAATTTACTTCTTTTTTTTAACGATATGTGCCTGTGTGTATAAATAATACTATAGGTGTGAACTCGTAGCTATGGCAATGATATAATCACGTGACAGTGGCATTGGGTAACATCAAATCAAGTTACTAGTAGTAGTACAGTAGGACAGTAGTCAGTAGTACTGTAGTTGAAAAGGTCATCGTGAGATCAAGAGTAGTGAACACACTGCATATCGGTAATGATTATTGACAAGATCAAGAACACAGACTAACTGCCATGACCAATGGCACCTTCGAATGTGTAGTAACTCAATGAAGTCAATCATGGGAATCAAAGTCTCTAGGGATCTGATTGCTGAGAAGCATACTGCTGTGAGGCACGTTGATAGTTACTTACAGCACGTGCTAGTGTTTCAGGTTGATGCAACCTAGCTACTCCTGTTGTTGCTGTTTCTGCTACTGCTGTTGCTGCTGCTGCTTCTGCTGCTGCTGCTGCTGCTGCTGATGATGATGATGATGATGACGATGATGATGATGATGATGATGATGATGATGATGAGGAGGAGGAGGAGGAGGAGGAGGAGGAGGAGGAGGAGGAGGTAGAGGATGTTGTTGCTGCTGCTGCTGCTGTTTGAGGAGGCTGCAGTGTGCAGTCTAAATTGCTCGATGCTGAAAGGGATGTGCATTTCTTGACCATTTGCTCATCCGGTGAGGTACTCGTATATGTTACAGCAGAATCTGAGTATGGTGAAGAGGAGGATGATGCCAGCGGGGTATCTCTTGAGCGACAGGCAGTATTGGCGTTAACACAGATGGTCTGCACTGGAGCTATGCCGCACCGATTACTGGTAGCTCGGTATGATGTCCTGCGTTGGCTGTGCGCAAATGTCGAAGACACTTTGTGGGGTATGCCTGTATCGGTAGCCTGAGGTCCGTAGTCCCTTTTGCGAACAATTTCATAGAGGCGTGGCGCAAACAAACATGCCCAGAGGGACCAAACCTGGGCTGAAGAAGACAAGGCAATGATGAATGGCTGCAGGAAACCTTGTCCAGTGATGAAGAATGCTGGACCCAGGGCAAGCCATACAACAAATGTACAGAACGAAGCCATGAAGATCAGCCTCGCTTCATTGTATTGCTGGGGCAGCTTGCGCACTTGAAAGGCCATGGCAAGGTTCACAATTGTCAACAGCATGTCATAGGCCACAATGGCACCGTACCAGCTGGTGAACTTCTTGCTCTGGCACACCACCTCGATGGTATCAGTGTGCCAGTTCTTCTCCTCCACTGTAGGATTAGCTACCAGCACTGCAGTGACGGCAATGGCTTCACCGAGGCCGGTAAGGAACAGGATGACTGCAATTTGATATTGCAGTTGCAGAGCCTTGCCACGTGACACACCGTCCATGTTGAATATGGCACGCAGTCTATTAGTCTTGACCAGCACGGTAGCCGTGGATAGGATAGGCCAGGGAGTAGAGAAGAGAAGAATCTGCGTACACTGATGATGCGAGGGTGGTAGTAGGGTGACTATGCTGGACACGAACGAGACCAGGCCGGAGCACAGAATAACTGCACTCAGCTTAGTGTCACAACACCTAATGTAGGGCTTGTCGTGATGGCGGTGGAATGCCAGCAAGGTCAGTAGCAGTGTCACACATCCAATGCATGCCTGCACTATGATCACGATGCCATAACCACTGGTGACTGTCATGTATTTCCTGTGCTTATCCACGCAGTGAGACTGCTCAGCATTTGCCACGTGTTTTCTGGGATCACAAGCTGTGCACTGTTCACTGTTAGTTTGGTTGGAGACAGCATTGGTCTGGCACTTCACACAGGTCCAGCAACACAGCGGTAGATGCTTATCTCTCAGGACGTGTGTTCCATTCGGACATTCTTGATGGCACACTGAAATTGGGACGATAGGCCGGGATGGCTTGACATCATGATGCTGGTGATTCGAACTACTATTGTCACCCCAGAAAAGACGTGGTGCATTGAAGAAAGTCAGTCGCTCTGCTAATGATACGTTGCTCCCTATTCCCTGCCAACTGCCCACCTTTCTCAGCAACAAACTGGTGGTGGACACACGCTGCACATTCACTATCCAGTACAACGGAAGAGCACTCTGTGTTGCGGAATCAAATAAGCGACATCGTGTCTGGTTGTTGTTAACGTTAGTTGTCTTGTACTCATCTGGTATCAGATGCTGCACTTGGTCGCATGGCACGGTAGCTTTGCTAAGCATACAGTATATAGCCCTGGAGTGTCTGTGTCTAGCATTGTTATCTAGTCTAGCCTGAGTGCGGCAGCCACTGCTTGCCTCAGATGCATTCTTCACATCTGGCATATCCTCTGCCTGTTCAGCTAGTGTGTGAAGGAGGGTGGACATGGCTAGGTACAAGGCTTCAATAATTGGCTCTGTCTCGTGGACACTGGTGATGTCAGTGTTGGTCAGTTCGTCGTTGGAGCAAACTCTCTTCTTTGGCCTTTCCTGGTGCATATTCTGACAGTTGACAGCAGCAGTAGCAAGAGAGTGACCACTAAAGCCAGTGTGCGATGCTGGAACAGTGCAGTTATACTTCTCCTGGAGGTATGCTTTCAACCAGGGATTGCCTTGCCAGAACGTGGATAGCACGCTGGCATTGGAGAATGACTGGGCAATTTCATTCGTTATGCTCCTCAAGTAATCACCGCGGATAGCGCGTGGTGCCATCCCTATTATAGCGGGCATACCAGTCTTGGTAGCAAAGCTGGAGTAGTCTAGCCTGTTGACCCAGTCTTCACTGCCCAGCAGCACTACATCCGTATATTTCTTTTCAATCATTGCCATCAGGAACATACGTGCCTCTGCCAGCAAGGAGAAAAGCACGATGACTTTCAACTGCGGCGTTGCCATCAGTATGTCAATGGTCTGATGCATGCGTTCTGGATACGCTCTGGCTATGCTAGCCTCGTGGGAGATGCAGATGTTCTGAGCTTTGGCCTCGTTGCGTATTCCTTCCATTCCTTGCTGTGCATAGAGATTGTCACTGGAAGCAATCAGCGCTATGTAGCTCCAGCCAAAGTACTTGGCTACGTCCACCATGCCACGGACCTGAAACTTGTCGGAGGGGACAACGCGAAACAGGTTCGGATAGACATCCGTCTTGTCAAACTCCCTACTTGTAGCCCAGAATGATATCTGCGGCACGGACTGCGAGGCAGCGATCTGAGATACACTAGCTACCTCTGTGCTCTGACCAGGACCAAGGAGAATGTCCATACTCGGAGACTGACAGGGCACAAACGTGTTGCGGGCTGGACTTTCAGTACTGCTACTAGTCGGTGTTGATGCTGCTGCTGTTGATGCTGCTGCTGTTGATGCTGCTGCTGTTGTTGCTGGTGATGATGATGTCATTGCCGGTGATGTCATTGCTGCTGCTGCTGATGTGCTGTCGCTGTTCCCAGTAGAGTTTGCTATGCTCTGTTCATCGGTGAAAGCAGTAGTAGGACTTGCAGTGCCGGTACCACTACCCTGGCTACTTGCAGGACTCCAGTATGCGCCGTCTGCATGGCTAGCTGCTGTGTTGCCCATGTTGTTAGTTACCGCTGCTGTCATTTGCAATGCCAGTGATGAACTCAGCAGCAGCGATGCACACGTATCCCGCACCTTAACACCTAGCAGGTCTGATAACTTCACTCCCAGCTTCTCTCTCAGCATCTTGGTTACATTGGGCTGCTCGTGTTCAGCATCATCCAGGAACTTCTGCCGTGCATACAGCAAGGCATGGGTCCTGATGGCCGCATCCTGGTGCTGCAGTGAACCAGCTGGACACGTGTTGGACGCCAAGTCAAACGTGTGATGCAAAGCAAACATGGCACCTACTAACGATCCTTCTGCAGATTGGCCTTCGTCGTACTGGCACACGGTGGGTGAGAAGAAGCGGTGGTTACAGTCATATGGCAGAGTGTCACATGGCAGAGTGTCACACTCACTATTCATTCCTGGACTGGCTTCTGAGCTGGCACTGACTATTACATTATCCATAGGTCCACTCACAGCTGCATGATCTGTGCTGATCGGCGACCTAGCTTTGCTTGCTGGACTGGTCGACACGTCCGAATCCAAGCTGAGGGACTGCGAGCTGACCTCTCTAGAGGACTTTGTTGCTGCTGGGGCTTGCACTGCCTCCTGTGTGGCGGACTGGTGGACTGCAGAGTCACAGTGTACATAATCACTCGCCAGTAGCATGGCACCTGACAGGAGGAGTAGGGTGGGAAATTGCATGGCTTACGGAGAATCAGCGGAAAATCTCCATAGAAACGGGAGAGTTCATCGTAACTTAGAAAACCCTGATGCTGCACGTCTCTGTTAGACTAGCAAGAGCTGAGTGTACAATTATGTACATACACCATACAACGATGACTAACCTTGTTGAAACACTGGACGATAACTGCAAGAAGACAAATCAGTCAGGCATTCGTTACCGTATAGAGTGCTCGCCGAGTCTGCAGCGTCAACAGCGGAACACTCCAAGCCCAAGTTGCTCCATGTAAAGGAAGATCTTCAGGAGAAGAGCTCCATCGTTGCAAAGACTGATGGATACACCTTGCTTGCGTAGAATTCGAGAGACTCCTGACTAATGACTAATGTTGGCTAAATGCACATGTGGCTCTCAACTCATTGCTTTCCTAAATCCGCCGATCCAGGCTGACCAGGCTGACCAGGTGAATGCTTGCCACACGAGAATTCATTCTGCACAACTAATTCGAACACTGAGCTGCGCCGGCCGAGGATGTCAAGGAAGGAAGCCGCTCGGCTGGTTCACATCTGAGAGTATGAACTAGGAGCTGCAGCTGCAGCTGCGGCGAGGAAACACGGTACCGGTTTTGCTTCAGCGGTTCAACACACTGGCCGCACAGGTAGAGGATATGGAGAGCTTGGACGTCACTACTAGTTACGTCCAAACCATGTAGACCTCCCACTGAACTACTTTCACGGAGTGTGGGCATGATTCTGTGAGTCCTGTATAATGTACAGAGTCAAAATAATGATTGTAATGTCAACGTGTCAAAGCCTCTCGCTGCTTATCGCCGGTGCTTCGTGTGGATCTACCGGGAATATCTTGGATTACATCACTGATCAGCTAAATCGCACGGTGCTCGTAGATCTTACTGAGTGAGATGTCGGATGGCGATACAGGCCGTCGTAGTCTACGTCCGGGCGTCCCCTATGGCAGTACATGCAGTATGGGCCTATGTCTGAATAATCATGATACTGCGATAACACCAGTACAGCATGATTGTAGGAGTGCAGGTACACACTTGTCAGCGGCAGCTATAAAAAAAATTGTAGCCGCACAGCAGCATGACGGTATACTGCAGTCGTGTGCCTGTAGCAGTACAGTGATGTGGTGGTACATACCGTGTACAGACTGTCACAGTCTGTCAGGCAGTGGTACATGATGAATGATTGATGCCATGATTGATGGGTAGCCGAATAGACGTGGTCATGTGGTAGGAGGATCCGTGAAACTGCGACGCCAACGCGGGGCTGGCCGAATCCCGAGCCAATCCGTCAAGAGAACGCGGAAGGAGCTGCATGTCGGGCATACCGTATTTCCACAAATAGTGGGCCGGTCTACTATTTTTTCAACCTCGCCCTAACCCGGCCTTATAATCGAGGACGATCTTGTATTCGAGGACGGTCTTTTATTCTTTCAACCCAGTTTGACCCTGGTCTTCTATTTCTCGCCGCACAGTTTTACCCCCGTTCTTCCATTTTCTTCTACACAGTTTGAGCACGGTCTTCTATTTTTTCCCACAGTTTCAGCACGGTCTTCCATTTTTAACACAAGAACAAAGACTCATTTAGTAGGTCCGCGGTCTTCTAATCGGAGACGGTCTTTTATTTTTTCAATCGCCCCCTGCCCCGGCCTTGTATACAAGGAAGGCGTTGTATACGAGGACGGCCTTTTATTTGCGGAAATACGGTACATGTATGCAAATTACTGGTTTTTACCAGGGAGTCGTAAAATATTACGACTCCCTGGTTTTTACTTTATAAACACTCCCGTGTTTGACGACTTCGCATTCGCAGGATCACTCTACTCGACTCGTGAATGACCCCAATGAGTGGGTTTTGGACCTTTTGGTACATTCTGTTCGAGTTCGGCCATCATACAATGACGTCATTGTACAATCATGTACGGTACAATATCATTGCACATGTGCATTATTATGGCGAATACCACTCTAATTATTTGGGCTTCGTGGTGCTTCTCTTTGGTTCGGCTTTCCCATTACTAGTACATCATGTGAGAGTAGTCCAGGCAGGACGGAGAATACAAAATGTAGTTTGGGAGAGATCACTGATCCGCCCGTTTTCAAGAAACCATTCCGCAATGTGAGCACGTGCCTGTGGAATGCGTGCTACTTTCTCCCGACGGCTACGTTCACTATTAATTTTTCTTCTACCTTCCGCCAGTTCCGGATCGCGCGCGCCGCGCACGAATAACTAAAAAAATTGTTGTGTCAGCACAGCGGTGTTGCTGCATGCATGCAGTTTGCGAAGCGACGGCTTCTGCAGCTTCGACGTAGCACACCGGGAAGTGGAACGAGAAGGTCGTATCGGATCTGAACTTCCTTCTGAAAGCTAACGCGGTTTGTACTGCTTTCTAGTGTGCATTTTGCGGTTTGGGTTAGATGAACAAAACTAGACAACTATTCAAAAATTGAATAAATCCCGGTTCGTAATGAGGCACGATCACGCGTCGATAGCGAGTTCCCGGAGTTAGACGTACTTTCGTCCGTTCTCCGTTGCTATAAATTTTCGTGGCCCACAGATACTCTTGTTCAGTCGTCGCGCGCGCGTAGTGCAGCGCGCTGCGGAATGTAAGCAGCTGCTAGCTGTGCGGAGGCACGGACTAATACATGTACGGTGACGGTGTAGTGATAATATCACTATAACAGCTGCTGCTGATTGCAGAATGTAGTTGCCTGGCTAAAGTCAGTGAAAAGTAAACAGCGAACACAAACTGCCGACTGTAGTGTAGAGTGCATTGCAATAAGGGCCGCAGGAACGCTGCAGTGTAGACGTTATCATATCGGCTTTTGTTGCCAGTTATAATAATTATTAGGTTTGTTGGCATGTGCCTAGCAGCCTGCAGTGTTGACGGTTGGTATAGCTGCATGGTTTGTTTTGGCACACCCCTAGTCCCTCACTCATACAGTCATCATGGCTTTTCACTATTCCAAACTGGCATGGTCGGCCTCCAGTCCACTACTCGTGCTCAGTGCTGGTGCCTGGCCCTCGTCGTGTACTGGAATGTTTCGGATGGCGTGTAGCTGTAGTGAAATGGCAATGCAGTATTGTGGGATAGGAGATAATAATTATTAAGTTAGTATGTAACATGATTGTACTTCAAAGTACATGACTTGTATGTACTGGTGGAATAGGAACACACCCAAAACAAGAGTCCCTCCTCATGGACACCCTCTCGTGACTATCCCTTTCAGCAAACAATCCAGCGCCGGTTTGTCGCACATGACGTATTGGCATTACCAGTGTTGAATGCCAGTACTATAAATAATCATGTATACTAGTCTTGTCGAAATGTGACTTCCATGTTCAATACTGTAAAACCCCTGTGTTCTGGTGTGAGGGGACTTCGTTTAGCTGGGAGCTAACACCACACACACACACACACACACACACACACACACACACACACACACACACACACACACACCATGCATGCCCATCGCAAGAGAAGCACGCAAACCTGCAAATGCACTGGATGTTCAGCCGCAGATTCTCTTTCATAGCAACAATCTGTCCCCGGGGAAAATTGCGATTCCGCGGCCGCGTTTTTTTCCGCGTTTTTTGCGATTTTTTAAAAGACCGCGTTTTCCGCGATTTTCCCGCGTTTTTTGAACTTTTTTTGTTGCACTACACGTACACACAGTGCACTGTTCGGTCAGCAACGTCTCATCGTGGCGGCTTTTTACTGAAATATGACGAGTGATTACACCAGAGACTTGTAACTGATTGATTTCACTACATACTCACTGAAAATTGCCGCATTGACCGCATATTTACCGCATATTTACCGCAAATTCACCGCAAATTATGCCATATTATGCCACGTTTTTCCCCGCGTTTTTTGCGATTTTTTTCCGCAATTTTCCCCGGGGACAGAACAATAGCGGACAAGATCTGAACAGAACAGATCAAGACTAGTGCCAGATAACTGCCTAATCCCACAAGTACACCAGCATGCACGCACGCATGCACGCACACACACACACACACACACACACGAGCTCGCGCGTGCGCACACACACGCCAAACAAGTCCAGACACCGGACATCACCTGAATATGGCGGGCAGAAGAAGAAGTAATTATGTAAACTCGTACAGTCGTAGTTCAACCTGGTGGAATCTGGTTACCCTGGTTACCCCTGTATGCCTGTATGATATGATGGTGTGTACAAAACTTGACAGATGATGCAATAGTAGGGAACTGGCATTCAAAAACCTTTTTAAAAAGTAATCCAACTTAGATCTGAATCAAGGACAACGTCACAGCCCCGCTGACACGCACACGCATCAAACTATGCAGCAGAGAGAAAAAGAAAGAGCTGGAGAGGGAGAGAGAGAGAAAATATAGACAGAGAGCACAGCAGAATACGTTGACTGGTTTCCTCCTATTCTTACAACGTCAGCAGTACTGGTAAGGAAATTGACAGCCATACTATGATACTTTTATAACGAAGTTCGGCTACTAGTAGCTAGTAGCTAGTAGCTCAAGATCCTTGCAGACTCTGAAGCAAGCTGTGTGCCGTTCAGTAGGTGTAAAGTACTCATGCCGGCGGGTATTCGTGGAAAGGGTCAAGTGTCACTCTGCTATTATGTACATGTATGTGCCAGGCAAACACACGCGAAACATACCGTGACAACACAAGCTGTTCATATTATGCCAATGAGAGATTGTATTCGGCCACTTCACAAACAGGTAAAGGATTCTGTACAGTGGTCTATAGTTTAATGAGAAGGGCGTAACTCCTCGGTAGCCGGCTCTTCATGATTTGAACTTCTACTGCACACTATAGTTGGTATAACTATTGGATACCGGTATTGGCACTATTGGCAATGACCCGCATACCCTGTTCCACCATTGCTGAACTGCTCCATGTCACCGCCATCACTGGACTGCAGCTCATTGGCCATGTTAGTACTGGCTCGGGATGGATTAGGAGATGGTGTTATGCAGTACATGGTGGTGGTTGTCTCGCTTACGACTGTGTCACTCTCAGCAATGGAGCAGTCTTCACTCGTACCCATCAAGGGCGACAGCTGTATACCGTTCATTGGTGACTGAAGCAGAAGGCCAGTAGTGGAGGACATGGATGCAGTGGAGATCTTGGGCGATGCCGACACCGGGTAGTCGTCTGTACTGTAGGAGATTTCCGACGAAATGGTCGCCGATCTACCGATGGAGCCCATTGACGACTTTCCATGCCTGTAGCTTTGCTGTTTGTCATGTTCTTTGCGAGCTCTGCGCTGACTATGCTCGAATGTAGCAGAGCTACTGCCGGTCGTGTTGCGCCGTAGCTGCTTGGCTTTGGCCTTGGGGCTGAGCAGTTGATAGAGTCTTGGCCCAAACAGACATGCCCATAAAGACCATATCTGTGTAGAGGAGGACAAGGCAATGATGAATGGCTGCAAGATGCCCTCGGTGATGAAGAATGCCGGACCTAGGCCCAACCAGACCATGAATGTGCAGAAGGATGCCATGAAGATGAGCCGAGCCTCGTTGAAACTCTTCGGCAGTTTGCGAACACGTGTAGCAACTACAAGGCAGATCAAGATGAGAAGGATGTTGTAGGCGACAATAGAACCGTACCACTGCGTTATCTTGCTTCCCTGACATAACAAGTGCACCACGCCGTCACTGATTAGAACACGCTCTGCATCAGGTTTACTGATGAACACTGCCGCAACAGCAATGGCTTCTCCTATCAGTGCCAGGCCAACGATAAACACCAGCTGGTAAGGAGTGGACAGGAGCTTTAGGCGGCTGAATGCATCGGCGTTGAAGAGACGCTGCAGACGGTTTGTCTTGGCCAGTACGGTGGCGGAGCAGAGTAGAGTCCAGGGTGTCGAGAAGAGAAGCGTGCGAGTGCACTGCGAATGCGTAGGCCTGAGCATGGCCGCAATCGCCGATACGAATGCCAGTACACCTGAGCAGAGAATCACCGTGCTGAGGTGGAGATCACATGCCTTTGTAATCTGATTGCTACGGTTCGTCCACAGCATTATCAGCGTGAAGAGGACAACAAGAATGCCAGCCGATGCTTCCACTAAGATAATGATACCGTAGGAATCGGTTAGCTTGATGTATGTGCTAGGTATGTCCACGCATTCCGTTTGTTGCTCATTGGGTGCTGTCAGCTCACTGCATTCCCGGCAGCTGTCAGAGTTCAGTTCCGTGGAGATAGCATCCTGGCGGCACTTCTGGCATTCCCAGCAGCAGTGGAGCACGGTTTCGACCAGAGAGCGGCGATAACCCGGCTGGCAATCCGTATGACACACAGACCTAGGGTAGGATGTGTTGTCGTGCACATGTGCTAGCTTGCCGGAGAGTGACCATGCTATGCCGCTGGTCTCATTCAGTGTGAGCCGCTCAGCCAGGCTAGATTCAGACCAAGCATCCTGCCAGCTGCCTATCCTCTCCATGCCGAAATCACCCGAGGCCGTCAAGTGCAGGTTCATTACCCAGTACAACGGTAATGCACTCTGGTCTTCAGTGAACATGTGACACAGCTCGCGCACATCCGTGTCAGCGTAGAACGTGCCGCGTGTGCTCGCTTTGTACTCGTCCGGGATCAGGTGGGCAACGTCGTCGCATGGAATCGTCATCTCCGACAAGTGACAGCGAATGTCCGCACCTCCGAGCTGCGCACACGACGGCTGCACAGGTTGTCCCGGCAACGGAGACTTTGCGTTGATCCTGCTGGCAGTGATATTGACAGAGTAGAACATAGCGGTTGTGCCCAGGAACACTGCTTGCATCAGTGGCTGTGTGGGCAGCAGACTAGGCACATACTGGAAATAGACTTCATCTGGTCTACACATGCGTGCATACGTACTGTTCTGGCATGCCGGAGCATCATTATCGGGCAATGAGCAGTGCAGGGTACTCTCCAGGTACTGTCGCAGCCAGGGATTCCTGGGCCAGTAGCGAGCCATGGCCTGTGGATCCCTGAACATATCTCCCAGACGTCTGGTCTCGCTCTCCAGTAACGTGGTCTGGACTGGTCGTGGCGCCAGACCCAGTATAGTGGGGAATGCCCGTGTCCCATTCAGCACACTGCCAGCATCTAATAGGTCGTTGAAATCCAGTCTATTCACCCAATCTTCACTGCCAATCACGACAACATCAGTATAGTTCTGTCTCAGCATTGAAAGGATGAAGCTCCTTGCATCGTCCAGTACAGCATACAAGACAATTACGCGTACCTGAGTGTCCCGTCTCAATGCCCTGACAGCTGCATTGCTATGGCTGGAGTAGGAGCGGGAAATAGTGAACTCTTCCGCGATGCAGAACGTTAGTCGGCTATCCGCTTCAGCCCTCAGACCCTCCAGGCCACTCTGTCCATACAAAGTGTCGCTAGACGCAACCACGGCAACGTAACGCCAGCCAAAGTGCTCAATCATATCGGCCAGTCCTCGTACTTGGTGCTTGTCGGACGGAACTGTGCGAAACAGGTATGGATATTCATCGGTGTCATCGAATACACTGCTGGATGCCCAGTAGGTGATCTGTGGTATAGACTTTGAGCTGAGGATCTGTGATACACTGGCTACTTCAGTGCTACTGGCTGGTCCCACCAACAGCTGTACTCGTGGCTCACAGCTCCCGTCGTCCGATGTCTCTTCCAATGCACCCACGGTTAGGTGAATGACATTAACCGTACCAAGCAAAGATGAGGAGCATGTATCCCGAATACGTACGCCTAGCGCGTCGGCCAGAGTTGTGTTGTACTGTACACTTAACTCCCTATCCACCGACGGGTTGGCGGCGGCTAATAGCTGTACCATGTCATCCTTTGCCACTAGAAATGCATGCGTCTGCATTACAGCACTCCAGTTCTGGAATGTACGCGTTGGACACGTGTATGCCACATTACTGAATGTACTATGCAAATCAAACATGGCACCCAGCAACGCACCTCCCAGTGTTGCCGGCTCATCGTAATGACAGACGTCGGGCTCTTGGAATACCGTAGGCAGTCGCCGTCTGCTGTTACAAGCAGGGTTGTGACCACTGCCTGGCTGTCCAGACTGCCCAGACGGCCCGGTCCCTGAACTACCTCCAGCTGGTGGAGAGTTCCTTGATGGGGGTGTTTGAGATTGGGCACCGCCACTTGCCCAGCTTGTTTGCGGTGCTTGGCCAGGGGACTGTGATGCGGGATTTCTTGCTGTGGGACTATTGCCACCGGCAGCAGGACTGCGTGTATTTGTTGCCAGGGTGGATTGGACAGACGTAATGGCTCCCTGGGTGATGGAAGCTGCAGCCGGTGAAATACTGCTGCTTTGGCCTAGTGTCATATTACTGACCAGCACACAGCCATGTAACAGCAGTATCACTAACACATGGTGTAGCGAGACTGAGAGCTGTAACCGTGACGACCGGTCATACTGCACTCCATCCATGATCCTGTCCAGTCCCCTTGACTCGCTTGAGACCTCCCCACCGCAGTCACCACGCAGCTGCTGCACAGGCTATAGTACAGAACGATGGGGTAGCACTGCACAGTGTACTGTACTGTACTGTACTGTACTGTACTGTACTGTACTGTACTGTACTGTACTGTACTGCACTGTACTGTACTGCACTGTACTGTACTGCAGGTAAATCCGGTATTACTACTAAGATAAGTCCCTGTAGCTGTCCCACTCAAAGTTAGTCCAAGATAGCAACAATGGCGCACGCTAGCATCGCTATCAGGCTGGTTGTGATAGTTTATCCGGACAGCACGATTGTGACGAAATCGTCGTCAGCGCCGGCGCTCCATCACCATGATCACGGCATCAGCCACATTCTGGACCGGTCAGTTCCCAGTGTGCGATTAATTTATTTTGGGAAAGCGATCCTACAGCTACAGCACAAAAATATCCAACAACAAACTCTCGCACCGCCCTCCTGCTGTTCTTCTACTTGGCCATAGATTTGTGGTATTTGTCAAGTAGGCCACAATGATTACGAAGATTATTAGAAGGGGGAGTTGCTACGCCACAACTAACTTACTTTATTCAACAATAACTTCGGAGCGGCGATGTTACATCGTTGACATTCGCCGCTAGCTCTGCATCTGATGGCTGGCCACGCACGTCTGCCTAAGTATCTTGTTATCCTGGGAAGGAGGGTAGGACGGGTACCGTACTCCGGCGTAGGTCTACGGGTGCCGGGTACCAGCAGATCTAGCCTTACCATTGAAGTAGTTTTCTGGACGGTGCTACGATCGACGTCAACAGTAGTTTTGTCTGCAGTGCCCCGGGTGCCTGGCACGCCAGAAGACGTCACTGGACGCCGGTTGTCGTAACAGAATGAGTGGCGTTTAGAGCTCTCAACAGCTCTCTGTTGTCAATGTCAACGCACGGTGAATGATGGCAGTGCGCTTTCACATTCGCCCTTCCACTCAGTTACTTTCAAGTCGTTGCACTAGTAGTAGTGGCAGTGCTTGTATGCCAGCCATGGAGCCAGTGGATCGAAGAGTGCACAACATGAACTGAAGTCTAGTGTAGACATCGTCGTCAACCTGGTCAACAGCTAGCACTGAAAATCCTGCCGAGCGCGGAAGTGTCCGACCGGGCCGTCACTGCACTGCCCGTCAGCTAACTGCGCTACATGCTGTACATATGGGACATGGGGAGCCGCTAGCCGGCGGATCATCACCCGTAGGTCTACGCTACCCGTCCGCACTCCGCACACTAGATACGGGATCTGCAAGTAGATGTCTATGCGGTGGTGAGTGATGTGTATTGTTCATTGTTCATAGAGCCCGAACGCTGCATTTTAGTCATAAAACTAGTACACGAAAGGTAACACGACGTTACGTGTTCCGAGTACAGAATGACACTAGTACTATTAGTATTATCAAGAGTACAAAGTCATGTACTCTTGCCTCGGGCGAGTATTGACTATTGTTGTAGGCATGTAGTATCCGGATCCGGCCAGGCAGTAAAGACTACTTTGTAGTTTGCAGTCCTGACCACAATCTGAATGATTGTGAGTGACGACTGACGAGCATACAACTTCTGGCCGCAAAAACCATGACTCAGTACCGTACTCAGTGGTCATGGACTCATGGTGGTCGACTGGTGCTCGCACTGGTGCTCGGCACTGCTCGCACTGGTGCTCGGTGCTCGGCACTGCTCGCACTGGTGCTCGCGCTGGTGGTAGATCTACATGGTAGACTGGCACTGCAATACAGTGTGGGCGGAAGTGTAGAGGGGTGTGCTAGTACATGACATTGTACAATCATGTACTTCAAGACCAAGACAGATTTTGGTCATTGGGAGCTAGCTTGAGGTTAATAAATAATAATAATAATAATAATAATAATATTGACTGGTTTGAGGGAAAGAGACAAACGGGAAAAGTCTGAAGAAAAAATTGACTGTCACCACCAGGACTCGAACCAGGGACCCTCGCTTATATATAATAATAATAATAATAATAGGGTTGTGCTGAAGGACTGGCCTTTGCCACTTTGGCCTTTCTGCAGAGCTAGCCAGGAGAAGAGAGGGTGCAGTAACTAATACTTACTAGAACTTAGAAGAACATCTACATGCCTGTCATTGCCCAGGGTGAAATAGGAGCCATCAAACACTCTTGTAAACTAGACTAGCACTAGACCCTAGGCGACCATGGCCCATCATAGCTAGCACAGCACCAGCTGCTCCAGCATGCAGTCTTGGACTCTGGACTCTTGGACTAGTACCACATACCGTAGTCATTCACAGTACGAGGTGATTCGTCATTATTTAACACGAAAGTAAAATAGCCTTCCGTAGGGTTCGAGGTGTGAATCTTTCCATTTCGTCCTCTAAAAATGTAATACTGATGTCCTTGGATTGCACTGTTGGGATTCTCATTCACATAATCCTTGGTGTTGGGAAGCAGGTGGCAGTTGAAAAATGGCAATTTTTCCGCATATTATTTGTTGTGGTCATTTCTTAACATCATGGTAAAATAGGCCTTAGCAGCACAATTTCAAGTCAGTTTTCAATAGAAGGAGACCCTACGTCTCCAAGATGGTCCAGCAAGACTGGATCAAGATCATGTTCATCCAAATACAAGCCATTCAAGCTTACATAGCAACAGGTGTATCACCCTGATTTCATGTGTAATTGTGATCAACATCTGTTAGCAAATTCAGTGATTGCCAATGTTTGGCCATTACTAGGGCCAACACACCGACATTCCTCCTTCCCAGGCGTCGTTTCCAGTATGTAACTATCATATGCTTCCTATTCAGCTAAATATGTTGTCACTCGAGGTTGAAACCAGCGGCTATGACTCTCTTATACTCTATTTTACCGTAAACATCGCGCACATGCAGACTGAAAGCTCTTGCAATGTCACTTCCTGAAGGAATATCAGTCTCAATTTTGGAGGCGAACTTGACAGAACATTGGCAATGGCAATGGCAAAAAGAAATTTGAAGTGACTTTTTGCAGGTGCTTGCAATGAGATATTTTACCGATTTGTTAAGAAATGACTCAATGTTAAAAAATTACGAATCACCTCGTACATGTAGTCAGTACTGTACTACATGATCTCATTGATCTGTACTAAAGAAGTACAATCACTGCATGCAGTGATTGTACTTCTTTTAATTAGGGGCTATCATTATCAGGCATTATCGATCATTTTCACGAAACTGCGAAAAAGTTTAGTTAGGACCCTCCCCCACCCCCCCCCCCCCCCCCCACCCCCCCCTGAACGAAAAATAGATAGACTTGACAGCAAGAATGCCTTGATGTCTCACATATCAATATTTTTCAAAACAAAACTCCCCTTGACCCACCCACCCATATACTTGAAGTACGAAACTGTTTCTCTTCGTGTACTAACTGAAAAGATCGATAATTATGGACGGCCCCTTATTCAAGCTCAACAAAAATGTGGGAACAGAAAACTACTACATGATGTATATTACTAGTGCCAGAGCCTAGCTAGAGGCATAGTGGTACTGCAAGGTACATGATGTAGTGCTTCAACCTGGATCACAGCTTGTGAGTTCAGCAATAAAAAAGGTCTTCAGGGCAAGGACAAGTACTCAGGTAGTGCTCATAAAACCGCTTGTACATGGTCATGGCTTATTACCAGCATCAAGAGTTGTGTACTCTTGGCAAGTCTTGCTGAGAATGGGTTTATTGACAAAGCATAATTTAAAGAACCACAGCAAAACTTTGATTCCGCAATAAATAGAACACTCAATTGAACTGCCACATCATCAGTGTACATGACGATGATTGTATGCTTGCTAGTACATTGTATGTACACTGTATGTACATTGTATGTACACTGTATGTACATGTACACTGTAGACTGTAGTAGTAAGTGTAACTAATTACCCAATGTTTTTATCTGTCTTTTCTTACTCTTTTTTCTTTGTCAGCTTTCCTGGTGGTTATGTGCTTTTTCAAGTAAATAAAAAAAAATAAAAATAAAATGATACTGCACAACAGTAAGTTACTGTTGTGCAGTATCATTGGGCGTCGCCGCATACGGTAAGAACACTTAGGCTGGAAAATGGCACGAATTTTTAAGAACAATCCAGGCTAGATTCGCATAGTCTAAGAACACGTGTGCTGCTCTATACATCGTACGTGGTGTGATCGCATTCCATGATGCTCTCCGTGATTGCGGAAAAAGAACAAAACGACTGAAATCTGAAGATTTTAGAACAATGCCAGGCTGCGCCTTGAGCCCAGAGGGGGCTCCATTCTTCGGCGCCCGATCTTACCGTCCAGTGTCTGTTGTAGGCAGCAGCAGGCAAGCACTGAGGTGAGTGCTGTTTCAACATGCAAGTACAAGAGCCTACAGAGAGCCTCGCCTACCTGTACATGGCAAAGCCAAAGGCCTTCTACGGCTTATCTCTGAGTGGGTCATTCAATTATTTGACTCATTGGGTCAGTGGCTGCTGATGTAACTGCTACTACTACTACTACTACTGTACAGTAGTAGTAGTAGTAGTACCGGTAGTAGTGATTACACATACATGAATCTACATGTACATGCCACACACTCTCTGTTGACCCCCCCCCCCCCCCCCCCGGCCAACTGCAGAGATTGAGAGAGTGCTCCGAATGCCATAGACAGAGCTTAGAACATAGCACAGCGGAGGACATTCAGGTTGGTTGTGACCGGCTAGAGTGGTAATTTTGAAAGGATTGGGAAAACAGTTCAAATTCCAAGGATCAGTTGGGGGAAGTGATGGTATTTTAGTATACTACTCCCTGCTTGTAACTCCGAGTTTCATGCCGCGAGGCAATCATCAGACAACTAGTATTTTATTTTTTCAGTTGTCATGTCTGATGATTTCCTCTGGGCATGAAACCCGGACAGTTACAACCAACCCGCACGTCCTCCGCTGAGTCTGGTATGTACATGCAGTTGTAATTGTGCTGTGTACTGTGTACTTGTAAAGTTGTATGTGCTTCTATCGGTACATGTAACTAACTTGTTTTTCGATTTTGACAGCATGTTACAAGGCGAAGACGCATAGTGCTCCTGACTACAACCATAACCTGGTTGGCAGAGTCCCGGTCTTGCGACCATTTCAACCGTATGGGGAAAACCCAGGTTCAGACACTATGTAAATAACTTCTAGTACTGGTCCCTGGTAACCATGGTAACTGTAAGTGTAAGAACTAAGAAGGTGCAGTTTGTATGGGGTGGGTCCAGAGATCTCTACGAAGGGGGGGGGGGGTCCAGTTTAGCTGAAACTGAACAGCTGATATGGCTGATACAGGTGCATGTACCGTAAAATCCCGCCAGAGCGCCCCTACCTCCTTGACGCTTCGGGTGGGGAGGGGCGGATGGGCGAGTCCTACTTGCCACATTCAGTACTGTACATGAACAAGTACTCACCCTACGAAAACTGTTCGTGCATCTCGTACACCGACCAAAGGTCAAGAGCCAGGAGTCGTACAGATCCGTCAAAACTCAGGTTTTGTGCGATCCCTGGTCAAGAAGGTGGGCACTGTTGCGTACATTTCCAATGGAGTCGAGCATGCGTCTGCAGTACAGTACCGCATCACAGACTGTGACAGAGTCATACGAGGATACAATCAATCACGTCCCTGACAAGAAGTCAGGGAGGGGCGGATGATCGATGGGAGAGACGGGGCGCTCTGGCGGGATTTTACGGTACATGCATGTGGTTTCCAGTAGCACAGTCAGACATGCTCGCTTAACCGCAAACATCCGTTTTCCACAAAAGAATCCGGATAGGCGAGGGTACCGGATAATCGAATAAGTACCGGTTTTTGTTGGATGCATCACGTATGCTGTACATCTGTAACCAGCTATTTTCTTCAGATGGCGAGGGATCCGGATAAAAGAGGGCCGGATAAGCGAGGTGTGACTTTACATTTGCGAAATTTAGGGGGGTTCCACGGAACCCACGGAACTCTCCCCCTCCCCCCCCCCCCGCCCCTGAGTTGCGTTCGCTGGGATCCGGGGCAAAGCGCAAAGCCGGCGTCCTGGACCAGTTCCGAATACTTCGAAGTACATCACATTCACTGCACTTGTGCACGTGTACATGTATGTCCAGCCGCATTCGCACCATCGGTCCAGGGTGTCAGTAAGGGCCGTGTCGCGGTTGGGGGCGCCTAAAAGCACTCTGGATTGTATTTCACTGAGCACGACTGTAGAGTGTAGTATAACCACTCACAAAACTGTAAGGTGATTGTACCCCCTCCTGTCGCACCAACCATGGCCGCCATGCAGTATACTTTGGGCCGGTTACTGAGGACAATGCAATACAGTATTACACCCTTGCAGTCTTGGTCCATGTGGACTTCAGCTTACAAAGTCACGAAAACGTGCACAAAAACAGAAATTGAAAAATTGAAATTGGTCGTACTTAGCTAACAAAAACATAGAGCTGCTGAGATGTTACCAGTGTCGATACCCGCAGGGGGCTCATGATGGTACAAGTTTCTACAGAGAGAGAGAGAGAGAGAGAAAGAGAGAGAGAGAGAAAGAGAGAGAGAGAGAGAGAGAGAGAGAGACAACAAATAATAGAGAATTACAGATGGCATGGCCTACCGTCACACCGGATGGTAAGAAAAGCTACCCGGAATGACCCCCCCCCCCCCCTAGCCCCACCTCCTTCCCTCTGTACACATGCGCACCGTATACCCCATAGGCAAGCATACAATGCGAACAAACAACAAGCATACAATGCGAACAAACAACAAGGCGGCAGTGCGGTAGAGGCATCCAACGACAATCTCAAAATCTTATATACAAGAGCTGGTTTTGAGGAAATACCAGGATGTTTGGCCTATGGTTCAATATTCACAACAGAGCTAAAAGTAGGCTGTTGTTCATTCCGATGCATAATGACATCACCAGCACTAGCATAATGACATCACCAGCACTAGCATAATGACATCACCAGCACTAGCATAATGACATCACCAGCACTAGCAGAGGTGACGGTGGCGCAGCAGAAGCAGCAGCAACCAGCACCGATGCAAATGGTCACTGTGGCAGTAGTGTGCTGCACTAAATGACACTTGATACACTGTACACTGTATCAAGGGTTGAACTAGTACATCAGACATGATTGTACTGTATGCATTAGTATTCTATGCATGCACAGGTATCCATACTCATGCACGGATGTGTGTCACAAGTAGAAGCTGTGGCATAGTCACAATGTCACATTGTATCTCAAGAATAAGAATTGTTTGGCAACTTACAGCTAAAGAAAAGTTTGAGACAATAAAACTAAGACTATACAAGAGAGAGAGAGAGAGAGAGAGAGAGAGAGAGAGAGAGAGAGAGAGAGAGAGAGAGAGAGAGAGAGAGAGAGAGAGAGAGAGAGAGAGAGAGAGAGAGAGAGAGAGAGAGAGAGAGAGAAAGAGAAAGAAAGAGAAAGAGAGAGAGAGCGAGAGAGAGAGAGTATAGAAAGACAGATTAAGGTGTGTTAGAGAGCTAAACAAGGCCCATCCGCACAACATAGTGCCGTGCACACTAGTTCACTGCTTCAATCCTGACCAAATACAAAGTTGTCACGTGGCGCTTGCTTTCCAGGGTTAACTTCTGCAGCAGTTGTTCGTTTCTGTACCGACTGCACCGGCATAGCACCCACCAATGGTGGTATGCCAGATCCTTTCACCGTCTTACGTTTAAGCCCTCGTTGAGAACCCTTGTCAGTGACTAAGTCCTGTGTATCCACCACTGAAGTGCCTGGTGTCCCAGATGCTGACCTGTCGGCTGACCGTTGTTTCTGCTGCCATGGATGGTGCTGATCAACTACTTGACTAGCTGCTGCAGCCTTTTTATTGCGACGTTTCCCGGATGCACCTTTCTCCTGGCGATTGTAGGAGGCACGCTCACGGCCAGGCAGAACAACACCCTTCGCGTCAAAGAGAGATATTAGATAAGAGAGCCGCGATGGACTTTCAGCAAAGAGCGGCCACCTTAGAAGCAGTGTGTCCCAGCCAGACGCTTGTAACGCCGCCACCTGCATTCGCAACAGAGCACGCGGTGGACGCTCTTCATCCCCACCTTGCAATCCAAGGTCATCACAGCACTGTTTGTTCGAAGCTACAACGATGGCCATTGGTCGCAGACCATCCTGCACCAACTGCCCTGCATCGATAGTATCAACATCGCCGAGCTCGCTTGGCCAGTCCGTAGGCCGACCTTCAGAATCTAGCAGCAATGCAATCTGGACAAACTGACGGTGAGGGGCAAAGACTTGACTTCTCAATGCACCGGGCGAGAGGAGATGCGCAAGCTTAGTGCGGATGACTGATACAATGTGATGGACATGATACGGATCCCTACCTTCCTCAGTCTTCGACCTTCTCACAACGAGCTCGTGGACCTCTGTGGACATGACCAGCTGGCCTTTCGTTGCTACACCACTCAGAGAACTGACAAGCAAGAGCCGTTCCAAACAGATCAGGGGAAGCCGCTCAGCAACCGACGACGATAGGGCCAGCTTGATCAAGTTTTCCGGGGGATCAACGTCGAGTACATAGCTTATCCAAGCACAATCCACAATAGTCGCCGGTGGTAATTTACTCAGATCAGATGTAGACGGCGGTAGAAGGTCAAGTTGTCTCCTCAGTACTGGCCGCATGCGATCGAGAGATGCTGTTCTCACACCAGCTACACAAAGGTTTCGGACGATGTGGAGGAAAAAAATGAGTGAGACCCAAGATTTTCCGGTCAACAGATCAATACAGCTCTCCACAGCACCTTGTAGCGGGTAGCGGATTTGTGCCAGTGAACGGGAAATTGCTTGAGCGTGTTTCACACCAGCATTCGAGAAGTTGAATTCGGACGAGTGAGCAAACGCGTAGAGCTGTCTGGCCAACTGTTGCTGGGTATAGTCCAGGGTGATACCCAAGCGTAGAAGACTAACCAGATCATTTTCGGCAAAGGCGCTGGGGTCTCGGCTGACCAGATTCTCTACCAGATTCTCCATTAATGCCTGGTGGTGTCCGGGTTTACTGTAGTGCACAAGAACGTCTAGAAGCCGACACACAGTTACTGTGTTCCATTGTGGGTACTCCTCAATCCAGTCGCAAGAGAAGAACAGCCGGGCTGCATGAACACACATACACACATGCACACACACACCACGCACGCACACACGCATCAACACAGCGGCACATAATCAGTCATGAGAGTGCGTGCATGTGTGGCTTATACCCGCCACAATCCAAAGTATTTTTCAAGCAATGATCAGGCATATGTGTCAGTTTCAAGTCACTATTATTCAAGGCTGGCTTACTGTAAAAGCCATATATATATAATGAAGTGCTAACTCTAACGAGTTAACGAGGAGAAATCTGTCGTTAAAATAGAAATCGCTATACCGAAATCGATACATATACTGTCCTATTGAGCGTTGAGAATGAGTAAAAATCATTACCTTTGGTGAACGTAAACTAGTCAATTTTGGGAAATCGTTATATATGCGCCTCGTTAGAATGATGGCTTTTACAGTATGTGACATTCGCTGCAGCCAAAAATATGACGGTATAGCACACACGGTTTCGTGCTAAGCACCAGAGAAAGCAAGTCAGCTTCTAACACTGATGTTCCTAAGGAGTAAGGTGACATATACGATGGTACAGTCAGACCTGGCATATTCCCGGTACTTTTTCATCCGGATCCCTCCCAATTCGGGAAAAGTCACCGATTTACAGCATACGTGACGCATGCAACATAACTGGACACCGCGATCCGAATACCGGCACAGTCAGGCCTTGCTTAACCACACACATCCGTTTTCAACAAAAAATGTCCAGACAGGCGAGGGAACCGGATAATCAAACACACGTACTGTACGTATGAATAACGTATGCTGTAAATCGGTAACCAGTGATGTTCTTCCGGATGGCGAGGGATCCGGATAGGCGAGGGATCCGGATAAAAGAGGACCGGATGGCGAGGTCTAACTGTACATGGGTTTGTGTGCAAACTGGTTGAAATGTGTACAACGAAAGTCTCGTCGAATCTGGTTGCATGTGGCTTGAAGAAGCTAGAATCAGGGAGTTTTACAAACCAAAGGGGAGGAATCCCCGTTAGTAGTACTAGCATTACTACAGTAAAACCTGGTGTAAGCGACCACCTGGGTCTAGCGACCATCTGCTCTTAACGACCGTTTTTCCATGCACGGACAGTTCTACACAGACACTGTGGGACCTGGTTCTAAAGACCACCTGGCTTTAACGGCCGCTTTTGCTTGCACCGTGGGGTGGTCGCTTAAACCAGGTTTTACTGTACTTGAATACTAGTAATGGGGCAAGCAGCAGCATTCGGCCGTGCACAGATCTCATCAACCACCACAGCATGACTGAACCATTAGTACTTGAGAAGAGGGTATTGAAAAAGCCAACTACTACTACTGCTACTGCTACCGCTACCGCTACCGCTACCGCTACTGCTACTACTACTACTACTACTACTACTACTACTAGTACTTCTACTAGTACTTACCCACTTCAGCTGATGATCTTATTTGCTTCGTTGCTGGTTGAGCCAGCATGCATAGGAGGATATAGACTTGTTCTAGTCTCAATATCATCTCGCCCTTCGTGGAGAATGAATCGCGACTAGTGGTGTCAGCTGAAGATGGCAACGATGACTCACTGCCTACTGTGTCGATGCACATGCTGGGCTCCTCTGCTGACGTTTCACTGGTGCTTTCCCGAGAAGTGTCAGAAACTAGAGCTGACGGCGTCTTCTTGGCGAGGACTAGGGGACGCTGGCTGAGTATCTTGTGCAAAGCCCGCATCACGTCATCGTTAAGTGCATTGTGGAATGTCATAAGGCGAACCGTGCCTGACAGATAGGCCGCCGAAAACGTGTGTCCTCTCTTAAGCAGCAGCGCTTGCAACATCTTACCGCCAATACCAAGAGTAGCACTGGCACTTGCTTCAATGATATACAAGCGCAGTACACCCAGTGGCAAACTACTCTCCGAAAGTGCTTTGGCCAAGTGACCATCTACCATTGCAGCTTCAGACTTGGACAACAAGCCAGCTGCCCACAGTTGATTTCCCATCCTCCAACATTCAAAGTCACTTTGCACGTGCGTGCCAATCAACGCCATGTATTTGCTCTTGACGGCCGTCATAAGCTGGTGGAAGCGCGGTGGAATTTGCTGTGCTTCGCCTCCCCATCTGGTGTTTGGCGCAAGCAGAACTGTTATACGTTCCAACTGCGTCACATTCAGATCCTCCACACTGATATTCTCTGCAGCCAGCTCATTTTGCAGATAAACCATCAGGTCAGAATCAAGTAGGGACGCATACGAAAGACAGGAGCCTAACTCCAACAGTTGGTTGAGGGTGAATTTCCGAGACTGGACATACGAACCTGTCAACAGTGGCCTCAGTTTCTGCAATTTGTCCTCATCGAAACGTTTTCCAGTAGAACCAGCACACTTCGCTAGAAGGTCTAGTAACTGTGAATTGTCCACCTCATCTGCAAACTGCACTATTGCAGGAATCAACACGAGATGATCCTGGCCATTAATCAACTCAGAAACTGACAAAAGCGTTTGTCCACTCTCAATGGCATCCGTCAGCACCCCCGCGAAGTTCGAGGCATCATAGCTAGCAGCTCTTCTCCATGATATCACTGAGGCTACTCTTGGGAAGCCACAGCCTCGACTTGAACATCTAGATGCTGTACTTAGGCATTTTAAAATAGCACCAAATCGCATAGCTGACGCCATCAAATCTGCTGTATTCCTTTCCTTGTATCACATTTCAAACTAGATAGAACCAGCTGAACCAAGTAGCAGTGTGAACATACATGACTGTGTTGAACTACATTCTAAAATTTGCAATACCAAGAGTAGATATCTATACTACTCTTGATATTTAAATACAGTCAGTTACATGCACACGTGTAGATCTACCATGTGTAGACTCTACGAGTCTACCAGGTCTACGTAGATCTACATTTTTTGTACGTGTACTCAATCTGCGTGTAGACAGATCTACACCAGGGAGTCGACGGGTCTATACCGTAGTATACGACTCCTGATATCGATCTACACGCAGAAAATCCAAAGGCAAAAATATTTTTATTCAAAAAATGACATGGCATGATTAAAATTATTATACCGCTTAATATCATCATTTCGGCAAGAGTACATAACCCATTGTTTATCTACTCTTGATACCGGTATTATGACTCGTATTATTTTTACTCGATGAAATAATTATAATACAAACATGCAATCAGCGCGTGCAGCTGCAATCAGGGAGTCGTCAAATACTTTTATTTGACGACTCCCTGGCTGCAATGTCAATGATAATATTAATATTAAATAATAATTATTATCATTGTTGAGCTAGTATGAGGGCCTTCCCATGGAGTGAGTTGCCACTGTCTTGTAGTAACTGTTTGTAAACATCGGCAGCGTTTTGCGGAATTGTTTTCCTCCACCGCCCTGTGAGTTATCAATCATGGATCGAAATTCATGAATCTATGATCGATAATAATAATTATGGTAAAGTACCGGTATCCCTCAATGGATACTTGCAGGACGTCCAAGAGCCAGCGGGCATATTATACGGCAGGTGGAAACCCTAGGCTGGTCCCCGAGGCAGGCATTGAGTCTGCCACACCGTCAAAAGTAGCAGGGCTGAAGAAGAAGAAGAAATTAGCCAAAGGCGAAGGTCAGAAACTGCTAAAAATTCTTTTGGCAGAACATGACTTCCACTCACCTATCATGAATTGAAATCCAAGTCCGAAGCTGCTGCTGCTGCTTATGGAATACACACTGTACAGGTATGGAATACACACTGTACAGGTATGGAATACACACTGTACAGGTAAATAATTAGCTGTTCAGTACGTATGAAAGTATAATGAAACTCAGATTGTCACCTCAGAAGTCACGGCTGGTAGCGATTCATGACGGCAAATTGCTGGTGCCGAAATGATGCTGCATGAATGTATGTTGGGTGTTGACGGCGGAGCACCCATTGAGGGTGGTCTACAGTCTTCTTCCAACACAGAAGTCTATATGGATTAGGCGAAGGACTCCTAGTCCCGGCACTTATCTTGGAGAACAAGGAAGCCACGCCACTGTCAGTATGTACCGGTTACTTGCGCTGTGGCTCAAGTGCACGAGGGCGCCCTGTCGCGGGATGGCCGGCAAGCATCACGTTTGGTTTCTTTGATTGATGTGGTTAATTCACAAATTAATGATGATGTACGGCAAGTAAAAGAAATGACGCAGCAAGATAAGGCTTGTGTGCTCAATAACTGCTCATGCTCTATAATGATGCCGGCAAGCGTTTAGAGATACCCTACAGTTTTGAACTGGAGTTGGCGACGTATGGAAACTGATAGTTTGGACAACCTGCAAAACCAATCTCTTTTCTCTGACTGTGACTTGCCTCAGATTTATCTTGATTTCCCACTGCAAGCTTTTTGGCACATTTAGGTCATACATGTACATGTATTTGTTGGTGTCAGACCCTATTTTACTGGCTTGTACAATTTCGTACACACTCTCTCGTTTGCGCCCATCGCAACTCCACATCTAAAATGTTAATGGTTCTTCCTTTGTCTCTCTACTAGGGGTGAAACGATTACGCTTTTCAACTACCGGTTAACCTACCCTTGTATCGATTCGAATATCGATTATGATATCGATTGCTGCGTCTTAGAAATTTCCGCGCCAGACCAGCAAAAAGCATGCCGTGTTGACACATAATAGTTATGCAGATGACCCGCGTACTCTACACAGTGCAGTGGCACATCACATGCGGGTGCAGACAGTCAGTTTGTCAGTTTTTTATATATTTTTTAATATTATTCATAGCCCTACAGGAAAACATGTGGATAACAAAAAGGAACGAGGAAAAGGACAAAATACAGTACTGCGCATGTGTACATGCACTGTCGATCTATAATGTATGTAACATACATACAGTCATGCACATGACATCTTGTACGTTTATTTACTGTAAATATACAAATTTTCGGCAGCTATTTAATTTCGGCTATATTCGGCACCGACCCAAAACGCCTAAATTAAAACACCGATGAAATTTTTCACAGTATCTGTCGCCATATACCATGCCCTCTATACCCCACGCCAAAATGTCAAAAATCGTGAAGTGCCGAAATTTTGTATATTTACAGTATTTATTTATTATTTTATTTTTAGAATCGCGTAATCGAAACGGACAGCATAATCGAAATCGCTTCATTGTAATGATCGATTAGACGGATGACTGATATATTCGTTTCAGCCATACTCTCTACGAAGCTGTACAAGAGAGGCAGTTGCGCTAGGCGGGCATTGTTATGAACGTCCTGGACTCCAAGTACCCCTGGGAAATAACGTTCTTGGACGCGTGACTCTTCTGTAGTGTCAGCCAGCAGGTGGTGCAAGCTCCAACACTAGGAGCAACCATGCATATTTTAAAATGTTGTCCCTTTGTCTCAGGCGATAACAGTAACAGCTAGAGATGTAACACGCCGCAGTGGCGTTCCCAGCGAAATAAAATGTCATTGAGAAAGGGCGAAAACATGTTGAATGACGAATGACTCGACTTGTCCTGAGACAAAACAATGGAACGAATAATGTAATAAGCAAGGTTGACAAGACTTGAGTCAGTTTGAATGGAGGCAATGCAACTAAGGTTACTTTCACGAAAACATCTATATAACTGTAACCCGCTGTATGGATAAAGGAGCTCTGTACCTATACCCACCGGTATGGCGTATACGTCTCCAATACAAGAGCCACATCCGTCCCAAGGCATGTTGTGTCAAATCTAGTATAGAAGGCGCAACAGTGCTATTCTATGTGTTGATAATGCAAGTCTCACGCACGGACCGTCGTCTACTGACTACATACGAGAATGATGTTTAGATGTCTCCTGGTGATGCTGCTGATGGCTCTGGCTTTCGCGGCACTCATTGGCGAATCATCGGCAAAGCCTCGGGCATACGTACTAAGTTACTTTATCCACTGACCATGGCCAATGGCCGAAACATTTGTGTCCTCCAGCTGTCTCTGGACTGGTCACTTGTGTAGGTTGTGCAATGAGTGTAGTTCGAGACGAGGGCAACAAGTGCCAGGTCCACAATATGAACTTAATGCGGTATACAGACGTCACGAGGGCAAGCAGCGTCAGTTGCAGTAGTCAAATCAGTTCTGCAACACTATTGTTTGTCTTCGCGTTCACTGGCGCTCAATGATGATCTAGAAGAAAGCAGTGCCGGATAGATCAGGGCCATAACTGGCATCGTAGGACGAGTGTGCATCGGCGCTGGGCATTTCATCGGTGACGTTCCGTTGCCAGAGCTTGACGTCACCATCCCAGCTAGCTGTTGTGATCATCCCTGGATTGGTTGGATGCCAAGACACATCGCGTACCACACCCGTATGACCTTGTAGCTCCGCTGCCACCTCTCCCGTTAGAACGTCGTAGATGACACACGCACCAAGCGCACTGCCCGTATACACATAGCGCTGTCCAGTGGTGTGAGCAGGCGAGAATGCACATCGGACAAGAGTGCTCTTGGTCGTATGCCCTCGGTACGTCATGACGCTTGAGTCATTCTGACGACGTTCTGTTGCTGCTGTGGCCGTGGCTGCTGTAGATTGTTCTGGCGACATACTCGCGGCCGCCGGCTTACGTACATCCCACAGCTTCATGCTGTGATCTTTACTGTTGGATATCAAATAGCGACCGTCTCCTCTTGGTGATACACACGTCAAGCCATCACTATGACCGTGAAACGTTGCCACTGCTTCTGGATTTCCTGCCGAGAGGGTACGGCGATCCCAGGCTTTTACTACACAGTCATCACTGCCAGAGAATAGGATGTGCGACGACGCATCACCAAAACATGTTGTGTTCACATCATCGTCGTGTGCTTGAAAAGCCAGCGTGCGTGCACCTCGCATGCGATCGTACATGTACACCTGGCCATAGTTGCAGCCGGCCATAATCTGATGGTTGTCACTGGAAAACTGCAACGAGAAAGCACAGAAGTGACTGTCCTCTTCTGGGTCCATGTCCAACGGCGTGTGCACTTCTGACGTGTCATTGTTTAAGTTGATCATGTATAGAGAATGGCACCAGCTAGAATAGACTCCATACTGCTCGTCGGGGCTAAATGCCATATCTATAATGCTCCAGCCGACTTCACGCCCGGCAATAGTGCGGTGGGGAATTAACCGACGCCCGTCCACCTTGAGAATGGTAATTCGGCCAGACTGACTGCAGGACACAAAGATATCACCCTTCTCCGAGAATCGCCCTATGAACACTCGACTAGGTCCAGAAATCACCACAGACGCTCGATCAGGCAATTGTCTATTCCCCAGCTGAGCACGTCTTGAGGGCATACAGCGACTACGAACAGCGTATTCACGATGACGGAGTAGTCGCGACGTGCTACACCTTTCAAATCGTCCGCCGGATTCCAGCTGAATCTGTCTGCCTATGTCCGTTTTGTCGACTCCATCACAGCAGGGCGGATGGTCTTTATTGTATTTCTTGGCACTGCGTCTTTGCATCGCCATGCGACGGGTTTGCCGTCCCATACCTGGATAAGAAGTTTGATATACCCGAGAATAGTCAGAATACATATTCTCGTCTCCACTGAGCGATTGATCACTTGCACTGGCAGCAGATCCCAATTGGTTGGTTCCGCGATCTGCAAAAATTACAACAAACTGTGAACCAGCAGAACTGCGCACAACGATTGGACGTCCACTGTGACCCAGTAAGTCCAAGAGTCGACTGTTTGGATAATTAGTAGGATCATCCTCATCGGAGTCCATAACTACAACCACGCTTCCACGCTTTGGAAAATAGCTCAGGCAACAAAGCTGAAAAGCGATGCGTTTGCAGTTGTCCTCATTGACTACTACATGTACTAGACCTACTGCCTACTGCACTGGTAGATCTACGCTCCCAGTCCCTGACTCCTGCTGAGTCGGGCTGAGATTACAGGGCCTTTTATTTGTACTTGTAGGCGGCTACCTGCTCGAGTCTCGAGATGTGCTCGCCTGGCCGGTGCGATCTGACTTTACATGTAGATCTACCGGTATCTCCTTGAAAATAATTTTTACTAGTACTTGGCAGGACAAGGACTGCATGCACTGCATGCAGTGCACTAGTACAGTATTACGAGCTCGTACATTGCAACAGTTTATCTACTCTTGCTTTCATGTAGATCTACAAAGTCCTGTACTTGAAGTTGAGTTTTGATCAAACAAGCTGGACCAACAGTGGCAACACTGGCAACATGCAACAGCAAGACGTGTAAGTAATCATGGTAATGGTCCTTGTTCCATCTGTGCTACCTCGAATAAAATAGCGAGTCGCGACTCATCGAGCTGCCTCGAGCGTAGAAATTACGTAATCATCAGTATAATCTGTAATTAGTATCATCAAAAGTTTTGCATGTAGATCTACATGACATTGTCCTCTGATCTGTAGAGAGACTGTGTCACAGAGAAGAATGACGGCCCGTTATTTTTGGGGATGATCATACTCTTACTTCAAAACAATGTTGATACTAATCTGGTGCTGTGTTGTATCAGCGAGTACCCAGGTGATGCGTGTTAGCTGTGAGGAAAATGGAGATTCTAAAATGTAAGTATGTAACTACTAAACAAGTATGCGAAACATACACGGGAATCTTGAACTCAGGTTATTGTCTCCCACTAGCACTAGTCACTAGTCACTGCACTGCCAGTAGCATACACGTCGTTTTCTGCATGCAATCTAAAAAATTATTTGAGCCACAAGCTTGAACCCTTGCAACCCAATCATGGTACAAAATGCCACATACCACAAAAAGAGATCCAAGATGACTTATTTGGCTTGCATTCTGCAGTGCAGCCAAAAAATAAAGGTGCGCTTTCCAATGGCTGAAGAAATCGAGAGTTGAGAAGCTTGTGTGTGTTTTTTTCCAGGTAACTTACTTGAACATTTGTGCTCAGACTCCATTGAAAAAGCTCTGCTGTTCAAGTAAAGGTGCGCTTGTACATGCTTAAACGCTTGGCCATGAAAAGGAGCACGGCCGTATGGCAGGGTCAGATGGGTACAGGGTACGGTATGCCTTACATAGCAAGCCGGGTCACATCAGATATGCCTTTTTACAGACTGCCAGTGGGGCAATAATTTGGGACACTAAGGGTGCGTTCTTAAATCCTCTCGGAAAAGTTGGAGACTCTCGGAAAAGTTCGAGAGCTGTTCTTATATCCTCTCCGAATTTTAGGAGGCTCTCCAAAGCTCTCCAAGCTTCAGAGGTGGTAGAAACTTGGAGATTCCCGTGGTTTGGGATCAGCGCATGCGCACTACAGCTAAAAGCATGTGTTGATCATGAGTGTACGCATTTCCCGTTTTGCATACGCACAATGCGTACTATACTCGTGGCACTCAAGATCACGGCCCCTTTGGCGCTTCATATTGCTTCACAAAATATCTCCGAATTCTTGGAGACCCGTCCTCGCAGTATACCACTTTCTTCGCCTTCTCTTTTCTTCTTCTCCGAGAAGCTAGAAAATATAAGAACGCACCCTGGGGGTGCGCCCTTATTTTCTCTATTTTACAGTATTGTCCCAAATATAGAGCATAGAGCGTAGCCAACACTAAAGTTTCCTTATTTACTGTAAAACGGGTAACTATTGCGACGTAAAAATGTTTGCGAATTTTGCGAGAGGCCCCGAATCGCAAACTTTGAACAACGCAAACTCGCGCCATGTAAAGTTCAGTGCAAGGACTGACTCGACTGTGTAGAACGACTGTAGAACGACTCGCAAACATTAAACAGCGCAAACCAGTCTCAATTTGTAAAACGCAAACCAGTCTCAATTTGTAAAACGCAAACATTTATTGTCGCAAACGTTACCCGTTTTACAGTACGCTTGGTGTGACCCATGCAAACCGAGTGGGGCATATCTTTGAATGAGTGAACTGAGCGGGGTATATCTTTGAACACAGCGGGGTATATCGCTGAATATACCTGCTGAGAACAGCCGCTGATTGGCTGAAATCGCCCTAATTGTACCCTACCATTGAATAGTTGTAGAGAGGTTCCCCACTACGTCAAGTTGAGCAACTTTACCGTAAGTGGGCCGGAAACCCCCTGTGAATTTGAAAGTTTGCACTCCACTTACGGAAAGTTGTCTAAGTCGAGTATGTATGTGGGGCTCCACTAACGGAGGTGCTCTGTAAGTGGATTGGGGTATAAGTTTATGACTCTCTCCCTACAAAATGTAGGTCGTACACTGTCGCGTTCAGAGTTGCCAAGGGCAGCTACGTGATTCGAAAACTCCGTATGGCGGAACGCGGATCCGCATGTAGTGTACATAAGACTTTGCGCAGATGGACCACGTTTTTCACCAACGTAATTACGTTGTGCGGAACCTCTCTACTATGTACTAACGAAGTAAAGTTTTCAGGGCGTCTGCCCACCATTCTGCTGCCCCTTGTGGACACTGCAAAACGGCTCCCGAAACTCACTGGAACTCCCCAAAAATTCCCAGGTCATTGCTCACGAGCTCCACACTGAATCTAAAACATTGCGAGTCAAAGGCAGAGAGACAAGGCTGAAAGAGCCGCCAAACTGCCATCTGGTCACATAGACAGTGAACAAAGAGGCTGCTGCAGTACATAAGTCTTTATCCAAGCATGGCTGATTTTCAATTAAGTTATGAACGGTACCATTCGGCTGTTCAATAATGCAACTATCTCTCCTCCTCTCTCCTCCATGCGCTCTCTGAGCCGACGACTACCCTCAATAGCCATTACACACACCAGTAATTCAACGAAGGGGTTACGGGTACTTCAAGTAATGTTACTGATAATATTCCTTCTGACAGCTGTTTCGCTTACTAAAGGCTCGTCAGAGAAGGTTATACTGAATAGGATATTGTAATTGACATGACAAATGTTTATACGGTATATCATGGGTGCAATAAACTAGGCAAGGTGTAACACTGAGAACCTGGAAGAACATTTTCAAAGCAGCACGCAATGCAGTGAGACTGATTTTGGGGTTTTTAGGCTTTTATTCTGCCTCGGCGACATAACTTTCACGTCCATTAATCATGGTGAAAGTTATGTTTTGAAAGGCAAGGCAACTGGTATCTGCAGCTGCAGTATGTTAGGATTTGAAAGTAATATGTGTGTTTGTGTGCTGCATCTACTTGTATTCGGGGAATCTCACCTTTGCTGCTGTTTTATTGTCGTATGGTGTGTTTGGTTGCAGGCTGGACAGTATTCTTCAGCTGGGGTCTATCCCCGCTGTGAAGAATGCAGCACTACCGGACACTGCTAGTGCTGATCACTTGGGCAATGGCGGCGCCGAGTCGTTTGCAGCGTCCACTGCCAATGTCGACGGTAGCAAAGTGTGTAGAACGCTAGAAGGAGGAGCAGCCAGTCAGCAGAGTAGTGTGTTGCCTTGCACCCATGATGTGGCTGGTCACTGCACAACACCTGTACTGCAACATGTAGGTGGGTTGTCTGCTTCGGCTAGCTGTACTTCCGTATTTCCCCGAATATGAAGTCACAAGGTTGGAGAAGGGCGGCATGCAGTTGTGTATACCTTCTTATTCAAGTGTCCACACTAGTACACTGGGTTGATACAACAGAGACTGGAGAGGGGAGGGGGAGGGAGGAGTGATTGTACGTTGACAATTGCTACATCCCGTACCGGTTCACATGGTCGTTTTACCATATCGCCACGGTAATTTCTGTTGTGCACTGCTGCTTAAAAAAAAAAATCACGGTTCGCGTGAGACTCGGCTGGAAGGCGAGTTTTCCGCATCCGCCGTGGGAACGCCACCACCCTCTAGCACTGCTGCTTGAGAACGGGATAATTGACAAAGCCAATTGCGTGAAACCGTAAAGTAAAGACCAAAGCAAAGAGACGTCCCAAATTCGTCAATAAGTAGAACACTCAATTGAAGTGTAAGATTAAACACGAAAGCTTGACGAGGAACCGTTACCCAAATGGCCTACTGGCATGCAAAGACGAGGGCGCACCTCTGCTGCTCGTCGTAAAAAGGTGCATGGGATTTCCACGTCATCACCTTACTGTAACCCTTAGTGATACGGTGATTTGGTACTTTACTGTAACCCTTAGTGATACGGTGATTTGGTACTTTACTGTAACCCTTAGTGATACGGTGATTTGGTACTTTACTGTAACCCTTAGTGATACGGTGATTTGGTACTTTACTGTAACCCTTAGTGATACGGTGATTTGGTACTTTACTGTAACCCTTAGTGATACGGTGATTTGGTACTTTACTGTAACCCTTAGTGATACGGTGATTTGGTACTTTACTGTAACCCTTAGTGATACGGTGATTTGGTACTTTACTGTAACCCTTAGTGATACGGTGATTTGGTACTTTACTGTAACCCTTAGTGATACGGTGATGTGGCACTGAACCTACAGTATGTCTGTTACAAGTATTCTGTGATTCATGATAGCCTACAACTTGAGTAAAGAGCTGTGACAACTCGGTAATGCATGTTAGTGCAATCTGTGTGTGCGTGCGTGCGTGTGCGTGTGGGTGCGTGTATGTGCGTGCGTGCGTGTGTGTGTGTGTGTGTGTGTGTGTGTGTGTGTGTGTGTGTGCGCGTGTGTGTGTGTGCGTGCGTGTGGGTGTGTGCGTGCGTGTGTGTGCGTGTGTGTGTGCGTGCGTGTGTGTGCCGATCTTCTTTGTACATGTTTATTTAGGTATCATCTATCTCCTCATGGACAGAGAAGAAAACTGTTGCACAGTTATGGCCAACACAGTTCTTAGCGTCTACTGATGATGTTGTTGCAGCTCATGGCATGCAGCAGCAGCAGCAGCGGCAGCAGCAGCAGCAGCAGCAGCAGCGGCAGCAGCAGCAGCGGCAGCGGCAGCAGCAGCAGCAGCAGCAGCAGCAGCAGCAGCAGCAGCAGCAGTGTCTACAAGACAGCCAGTCTCTACTACAGTACCATGCACAATTAGCAAGGCAGCTGGAGGAGTTCCTATACGACTCCGTCATTCCGGACAGTACGTGTAATGTTATGTGCCTGCATGCATGTGTGTAAGGTGTATGTATACTTGGCGTATATGTATCACATCTGTGGCAGACAGCTGAACTCGGCAACTTGATTTACTAGTAGTCTGTACAAGCAGCAGCGATCTGTTATAGCTAGCGTATTCCGGCAAGACTGCAACTTGTCGATCCTTAGGCAGGCCCGTCACATCGACTTTGGAGGTGGGGCGGCCATGGCCATGCGGCTGGAAGCCCTCCTCGGGGAAAAATTTCAAAAATTGAAGCCAATTGCATGCATTTTCAAGCATTTGGTGCCATTTCAGTGTAACTGCAATGAAAGACTTTTTTGATTCTGCAATAAACCACGATCGGGGACCGGGATTCTTCATTATTTGCCACGTTTGCGCTGAGCTGCGATCATCGCGCTTTGTTGCAGTGTGCTCCAAAAAAAACAAAAAACAAAAAACGGCCGAAAAAGTGGGGCGGCTGAGGCCGCCCCAGCCGCCCCGGCTGTGACGGCCTTGCTTTATGGCATCGGTCCCACGTGGTCTTTCGTGGCCATTTGCCTCACTTGATGCCGTCAGGTGTAGCCAGAGATCAAAGTACATTGTTTTTTTTGGAAAGAGGCAGAGTGTTCAGACAGTGTCCGTTGGCTGTTGTATAAATTCTGAAAATACTCAATCTAGCTGTTTCGACCTTGTAACGTCTTATCAGCGGGGCTCAGAGTGCCTGGCCCAATCTATTGCAATGCAGTCTAGTGAACAATGGATGATTTCTAAACCAGCTCAAAGCATCAATGTCAGAGTGCTCGAATTGCGAGAAACACAGCGAGCTTTGCACGAGGGCAGGTAACGAGGGCAGGTAATGGGGGCAGGTAACGAGGTCAGGTAACTTTGACGCCGATGAGAAAGAGCGCTCAGCCAAGCCGAGGTGACGGAGCGTAATTCTGAATCTCCGTATATTCTGAAAAAATAAATATTCTTTGTTCGTGGGAGACTGAAAGGATAATGCTGAAAAGTACTACAATCTCACAAGGACACCTGTTGACGAGGTGCTTGTTCTATAACTATGACTTGCTGCTTGCCTGATTCCAAGACAGTGTACATATTTAGGCCACTGCGAACACGGCATGTACGGCAGAGGCTTGATGGTATTGACACATGTCAACATGCCCTGTGTGTGTGGTGTGTGTGTGTGTGTGTGGTGTGTGTGTGTGTGTGTGTGTGTGTGTGTCTTGCCGCGCACGCCGTGTGTGGCATGCGGTGTGTGCTAACATGTTTGTTTTGGTGCACTGTACAGGCTGTGTGTACGAGGATGAGTCGCAGCCATGTTTGTGTGAAACGTGTGATTGGTATTGCGTGGGTGGCTGGCAGACATCACTGACAGCGCATATGCAGCATGACAGCAGGTATGCTAGTCATATGTTCACACCAAGAGTTTATAACCCCCCCAAGAGTGTGCAACTTTGCATATGGGATCTCCGACGGCGAAAACTCACATCATGTGTCCCAGATACGTTTGTACTACGTACAAACGAAGGATAGCGTGCGTGCAATCCGAATATCTACCATGATCATGCTGGGGATTTGCATACCCGCAGTGAGTTTCTGTCAGAGAGTGCTTTTTTATTACTCCGCTGCTCGCAAAAAACGGGCTGGAAACATACAACTGCGACACTGCACCACGTGATGTGAGTTTTCGCCGTCGGCGTACCCATAGAAAGGGTATCAGGAGTTGCACACTCTTGGGGGGTTATATACTCTTGCTCACACTACAGCCAGGCAGGCAGCTGGGGTTACTAGCACTGTAAAAGCCCGCAATAAGGCCCTGGGTGGAAACGTTAGTGAAGGTCCAGAACATGGGCGTCAATTTCGGCCCAGGCGATAATGTGATCCCCGGGCGTTAATTCGGAGAAGTGAAATCAGACTGATTTTCACATCAACATGCTGTCCTACGTATAAGGCTAGCACCGTTGTCTTTACACTATATACTACCGTATCGTACATGCTTGTGAAGCTGTGCATGCACTGCACCGTGTACTGGGCCGGTGCTTTCACCCATGGGCGTTCACACGGAGGTGGGCTAGAAAATGGGACAAGAGTGCTGACACCCGGCATCTGGGCGTGTACACGGGCAGCGGGTGTTAGACTGGGTGGGCGTTAATACGGGCCTTAGCTAGCTATTAACTGTAGACATGATCCAATACTGTACTACATAATGATATAGTCCAGTACACACACTCATGTACATGTACACATAACCTTGACCGTAACATTGCCACTGCCATACAATATCTGCACCATATTGTGCCCCTGTCTATGCATGTTCATGTGACATGTACAATGTATGCATAGCATAATCTGTGTGTGTGTGTGTGTGTGCGTGCGTGCGTGCGTGTGTGTGTGCGTGTTTGTGTGTGCGCGCACACACGTGTGTGTGTGTGTGTGTGTGTATGTGTGTGCGTATGCATGCTTGGTTGGGTGTACGTTTCTTCTCTTTGCCTGTACAGCGTTTCCAGCGTGTTGGAGGCTATAGGTGAAGTTGCTCGTCAGTTGTTGTTATCTCTATCAGGCAGCGAGGCTATGGCAGCCAGTGCCACTGTTCTGCCTGTCAATCCCCTACTGAATGTAGATGTATTTGGGTAAGTTGTCAGTATTGCTTATGCTCTGTGGCTTGTTTGCCAGCAACACAATCTCAGTCTCTCATTCTCAACATCTCCCTCTGTCATGCACGCACGCGCATGCACGCGCACACACATGCGCGCGCGCGCGCACACACACACACACACACACACACACACACACACACACACACACACACACACACACACACACACACACACACACACACACACACACACACACACAGAAGCTCTCTTTCAAGAAGTGTCTCTCTATAATGTAGTAGAAGTACACGACAGGAGCATACTTGAAACGTACACATCATTCTGAATTATCCCCTATTATGGTATGGAGTTTACGAACACCATGTGTAGTCATGCCCCGTCATAATTATTATATTTTGCAATTCGTAGTTTGTGCACTTCTTTCGTATTGTGCTCTCTATGTGACAGTGCAAGTCATCGTCCTCACCGATCATACAATGCCTCACTCCAGCATTCTCATACCTCGTTGCAAGCCTCAGCGCATACACTATCGGCCATATTCTGTGTTGCCATTGGCGACGGCAGCATTGATAGCAACTTTGTGCGTTTCAGTGACCCGCGTCCACAAGCTTCGCCCATGGAACTGGTAGGCTGGTTACAGGTAAGCATAATATTGTAGCTTGGAGCTTCTACCTTGTAGGTTGTGGCTTGGAGCTTATAGCTTGTAGCTTGTGGCTTGTGGCTTGTGGCTTGCAGCTTGTAGACTGGTATATTCATGCAGTTGTTTGAGTGGTAATTTACCTGTCGATAGCAACGTGTATAAGTTCTGAGTGGATTGTGTTCTCACGCACCTTATTGCTGTGAACACCCTGCAGGGTTCATCCGTGATGGAGTTTGAAATGAAGGCGGGCAAGGTGAGTATACTGTGCAGTGTGCATGTGTGTTAGCTTTGGGTTTTATTCATAGGGGGATGGGGGTTGCAGTGTAGCCAACCTTCCGTATCTTTCAGTACGTGTACGGAAAGTCACTCCTTTGTCCACGCTATGGAATTTGAGCAAAATGGTATGGAAGTTGAAGAGGATCAATCCGCTATGTAGAAGCATGAAGTTTGGAAGCTGAGTGACGAATATCCTTGTCTGAAAGCGAGTGTACATGTATGCCGTGCAACGACTACATGTAGTACAAACGATCATGTTGTGGTACAAGTCATACATGTTTTCCCATAGCTAATCCAGCCACCAACGTACCTGGATGCCTGTGAGTGTCAAGAAAAAGCACAAACAGGCATGCTAGTAAAGCACAAACAGGCATGCTAGTAAAGCACAAACAGGCATGCTAGTAAAGCACAAACAGGCATGCTAGTAAAGCACAAACAGGCATGCTAGTAAAGCACAAACAGGCATGCTAGTAAAGCACAAACAGGCATGCTAGTAAAGCACAAACAGGCATGCTAGTAAAGCACAAACAGGCATGCTAGTAAAGCACAAACAGGCATGCTAGTAAAGCACAAACAGGCATGCTAGTAAAGCACAAACAGGCATGCTAGTAAAGCACAAACAGGCATGCTAGTAAAGCACAAACAGGCATGCTAGTAAAGCACAAACAGGCATGCTAGTAAAGCACAAACAGGCATGCTAGTTGTATGGTCCCTGCCTAGACCATACAATGATCTAATCATGCAGTTTATACACACACGTAACTGGCTCACTCTAAACTGCTCTGAACTCGGAATGTAATTATCTTCAACCAGACTCAGCTGCAGCAAGTGAAGACTGCCTCCGAACATCCCAAAACCAACTTCACACGAGCATGCATCTCTAGTGCGCATGCTCGTGAGAAGTCATAATAATATGACTTGACTGAGGGACACAACAATTCCCCCACCACTAGAAAAAGACGAACATGGAAAACAGTAATAAGAGTGGTTCAAATACGTATGGATGGCTACTATGCGAGTGTCTGATCTGCAACCAATTATGTCATCATTCGCTATAGAATTATAACCGATACCCATGGCTGACATAGTAACTATTCATGTATTTATGACGGCTAATACCTATAATTATTTGAACTATTTACAGAAACAAGGTTTGTATACACATTATAATACAGTTCATGACCACTGCAGTAACTGGAAACCACTACTTGGCTTGAGTGCGGTACCGTTCAGGTATGACAACCTGGCGGCCGGACCGGGTCGTACTAGTGTTCTGACCAGGTGTCGATGGTGTTGGCATTCTAGACTCAGACTCACTATCCGTAGGTATTGTCGTGGTTGTTGGTGTAGGGCTGACTGTTGACTGACTTGACGGTTGTTTCTCAGCGGTAGTAGGACTTGAACTTGAAACTGTACCGGTAGAAGAAACACTGGGACCAGTATCAGCGGATGACGATGGAGCCTGATGCGTCGATTTAGGGGGAGCTTCAGCCACATCCTCCCTCACAAACTCAGACAAAGGAACTGAACGTGCTCTCAACTGGTTGCGATGACGCTTCCACAAAGCATCCTGAACTTGAACTTGGTAGTTGACTGGACTGATGACTGACACGATGCGACCTGGGACCCACTTTGAACCATAAGAGCCAAAATTTAGAGTGAACACAGCGTCGCCTGGTTGGAATTCTGGGGTCTTGTTCATGTTGCGTTCGTAAGAGTCAACAGACGGTTTGGCGGTCTGTTTTAGCGTGTCAAAACGGGTACGTGGTTGACGCATCATAAGCATCTCAGCTGGTGACTTGTTGTTTGCTGAAGGGGTTGTACGATGTGACAGGAGGAAGCGTTGTAGCGTAGCGTGTAGGTCACCCTGCGTACCCATGGCTTTCAATTTTGACTTGAAAACCCCAACATAGCGTTCTGCTAACCCGTTGGTTGCCGGATGTCCAGGAGCGGAACAAGTGTGTCGAATGCCATTCTTGTGTAGGAATGATTGAAATTCTTCACTCGTGAATTGTGAGCCGTTGTCCGATACGATGTGATGTGGTAGGCCAAACAAAGCGAAGACACGGCGTAAAGCAGCGATAGTAGTAGCGGACGTTGCACGGTCCATAGGAACAATATCCAGAAATCGAGAATATGAATCAACAATGACAAGAAACATCTTGCCCATGAAAGGACCGGCGTAATCAATATGTAAGCGTTGCCAAGGTCCCGTCGGCTATGACCAGCTACCAAACTCCTTCGCTGGCAGGCGTGCTTCAGCTTGGCATTCCGGACACTGAGCGCAAACCTGCTCCAAATCTCTGTCGATACGAGGCCACCACATGTAGCGACGTGCCAAGCGTTTCATACGAACTACACCTGTGTGTTCATAGTGAAGATCGTTCAGCAAGAACTCACGTAATGATTCTGGAACAATGACACGATCGTTCCAAAGAAGGATATTGTCAGACACAGACAACTCCCAGCGCTTCGCAAAGTACGGCTGTAGAGTTTGATCAATGGTTTCCGGCCACCCATTCAGTACATGGTGCCAAACTGTCTTCAGTATAGGATCCCGTTGCGTTTCGGTAGCAACTGTGTCCGCATTAATGACTTCGCTTTCAATGAATAGTACCTGTTCATCAGCTACCTCGTCGGAGCAGGGAGCGCCAGGACCAGGTTGGCGCGACATGAAATCAGCGAATGGGTTTTGGCGCCCTGGGATGTGCTTGATAGAGTAGTCGTATGCCGCTAGGGCCAACTTCCATTTCTTGAGTCTCAGTGACACCAAGTACGGAACGCCGTCTGTACACCCAAGCAGTTTAACAAGCGGCTGGTGGTCTGTTTCGAAAATGAACTTGCGACCGAGAAGGTACTGGCGGAAAGTAGTAGCTCCGAACACCACGGCAAGCGCCTCTCGCTCGATGTTAGAGTAGTTCTTTTCCGCCTTGGTCAAAACACGCGAGGCATATGCAATGGGACGTAATGACCAGGTCGCTCTTCTTGCAATAGCACCGCTCCTAGACCTACGCCTGAGGCGTCAACTTGGACCTTGATGTCCTTCGTAGTGGAGTAGAAAGCCAACGTTTCAGTGGCGCAGAGTGCACATCTGATTGCGTCAAACGCGTTGCTCTCACTAGACTCCCACTTCCACACAGCATCTTTTTTGAGTAAGGCGTACAACGGTGCCATGATGGTGGCAAAATTCGGAATGAATGCTCTGACGTAGTTCGCAGAACCGATGAACGATTGCAGTTCACTCACAGTAGTTGGAGGTTTTGCGTCTTTCATGGCTGTAGTGCGCTCGGCTGATGGCGATACACCCTCCGCTGAGAATGTGTGCCCCAAGTAGGAGATGCTGTCAAGCATGACTTCAAACTTCTCGAGTTTTAGTTTCATGCCGACTTCTTGCAGGCGCTGGAGAACTTTCACAAGGTTCGCTCGATGCTCGTCAGGTGTTTTGCCCGTAACCACAATGTCATCGATGTATACAATGCATCCATCGATGCCAGCCAGCACAGTCTCCATGGTGCGCTGAAAAATGGCAACAGCCGAGTGTACACCGAACGGTAAGCGCACATATTCAAACAAACCACGGTGAGTATTGATAGTGGTGTACTTTCGGCATGATTCATCGAGCTCGAGCTGGTGATACGCCTGCTTGAGATCGATTTTGGTGAATTTCGTACCGCCTGACAATTTAGCGCGGATCTCAGCGATTGTAGGTAGCGGATAGCTTTCCAGCGGTGAATGTGCATTCAGAGTGCGCGAGTAATCCGCACAAATGCGAATCGAGCCATCCGGCTTTTTGACCGGAACAGTTGGCGTTGCCCATTGTGAATATTCAACTTTCTCGAGAATGCCATCGCGCTCGAGTTGATCAAGAGCCTCATCGTATTTCTCAGTAATTGCAAATGGGACTTTGCGAGGCTTGAGGAAAACCGGGTGTGCGTCGTCAACACGCAGGTTGACCTTCATTGTGTTTAGTTTGCCCATTGAGGTAGAATCAAACAGATCTGGAAATTGGGCCATAATTTCCTCACGCAGTTGAATTTGTGCCACGGTTTCATCAATTCTAGTTTTGACAGAGAAGATTTCATTCCATGGCAATTGAAACAGTTGTAGCATGTCCCTTCCCAAAAGGGATGGTCCCGAGACATCTACAACTCTGAGCTTAACGGGCGCTGTCGTACCATTCAAGGTGACATTCATTTCAAGCTCGCCCAGGCAGGTAATAGGCTTATCAGAGAAACCCCTCAACAGTACGGTGGATTTAGGTAAGGTAGACAGAACCCCACCCAGCTTCTCGAAATCCCGTTTATTTAGTATGGACACACCACTGCCAGTATCAACTTCCATGCGAATAGGGATGGGTACCTCATTGATTACAACATCCACAGCAAACGGGGGTACGCTGCCTGTAGTATCACGTACAGTATACATTGGAACGCTC